CAGGGGCGCTTACCAGGGGCGGGTGCAGGGCAGGGCCGCGATGGGCGGTTAGGTCAGGGCCACAACGGGGCGGCTGTAGGGCAGGGCCGCGACGAGGCCGCGGCAGAGCAGGGCCGCGACGGGGCGGCAGCAGGGCAGGGCCGCGACGGGGCGGCGTCAGGGCAGGGCCGCGACGGGCGGCTAGGTCAGGGCCGCGACGGGCCGTTAGGGCAGGGCCGCGACGGGCCGAGAGGGCAGGGCCGCTACGGGCGGCAGTAGGGCACGGCGCACGACGGCGCAGGTGAGGCAGGCGCGAGGCGCGCTTCGGGCAGGGCAGGAAAAAAAAAACGATCGTGGTGGGCCCTTAAAAAAAAGCGTTCCCACTAGGGAACCTGCTCTAAAACCATGTGAAAGATAGAACGAGGAATGAATGAACTAGCAAGCAGGTGGGTACAAGTAGGAAACCCTAAATGTGTTGTACCCCATTTGGTCTACCCGACTACAGCCTAAACAGACTATGTCATATAAGTTTGACAGAAGTGCACCCCCATACACGAAGAGGGCGGACGGACGGCTTTTGACCCGTCCACAGCTCTGCGGGGGTGGTATGGGTGTGGTGAGGATGAGGATGGAGATTGTGGAGGGCAGCAGCATGGAGCATGGCGTATCCCCAAAGAGAGGGAGGGGCGGAAGCATGAGTGAGGAGGCAGCGAGCAATCTGCACCAAGATGCGGTTTCGGCTTTCAGCAACACCGTTCTGTTGAGGACTGTCTGGGAGAGTGAAGGTCTGACGAATACCCTCAATAGAGCAGAAAGCTTTGAGAGTGTTGTTGCGGAATTCACCGCCACCGTCGGAGTGAAGAAACTTGATTTTGGTTTTGAAGTGTGAATGAGCCTGCCGGGCCCATTCCATGATGATGGCTGGGGCTTCAGACTTGGCGGTGAGAAGGTGGACGGACACATAGCGGGAATAGTCATCAATGATGACAAGGAAGTAGAAGTGTCCGCCACGGGAACGAACAGGAGCTGGACCCCAAAGATCCATGTGTACGCGATCGAGAGGTGCGGTAGAGATGGACTCAGTGGGAGGATGGGGCTGTTCCCGAAGCTTGCTCTGTGCACGGTCAAGGCAAGGCGGCCCAGAAAGAGAGGGGGGTTGTGGAAGTGAGGCGGGCAGCCCGTGAAGGAGTTGTTTTGTGGCAAGGTCTGAAAGTGCGCGGAAGTGACATGAGGGGGAGTCAGAGGATGGAAGCGGAAGGTTGGTGAGGGAGCATGTTTGAACGGGAGGTACAACTAGTGTGTATAGGTTGTTGGAGTTTAGGGTGAAGCGGGCAAGATGGAGTCTGGTTTTGGCGTCAAACATGTCACAGTAGTCAACATCATTGGGAAAGATGGTGATCACGCCTGGATGTTGGATTTCACGCTGTGCAAGAAGGTTGTAGCGGAGGGTTGGGGCACAGATGCCAGTGACTGTGCCGGATGGGAAGGCTGGACAGAGAACTGTGGAGGACCCATGGCATTGGATGGAGAAGCTAGAATCGGCTCCAAGAAGTGAGGTGGGAGCCTGGTAGGGAACGAATGCGGTTTGGTCTTTAAGCACTGTGTGGGTGGCACCACTGTCTAGTATGAACTCGATCCCCTGTGTGGTTGAAACACCGATGTACTGCGACCCCTTCTCATTAATAAGACCAGCACCAGAGAACAACAGATTAAGGCGAACATCAGATGGGGTGCTAGCAAATGCCTGAGCAGGTTCCTCCACTGCCTCGACCTGGTTCACGCGACGGGGTGGTGCCCAGTTGGGAGGGCGCTTGTCCTTGGAGACACCATGGACGTCATACCACTCGTCATCTCGCTTCTTGAAGCAAGTTACCTCAGGGTGGTTGGTGACGTTGCATTTCTGCCCCGCACGTGGACCCTTCCTAATGATGTAGGGGCATGGGGGAAAGGAGTTGCGCCTCTGCCCCTGCTGGGAGCGAAATGGGATACCAGGGGAGTAGCGCACAGCATTGACGGATGCTTGGGCTGCAAGGTCCTTTTCAGCAGAGAGAAGGGCCGATGCGACTTTCTCGAAAGTGAGTTCCTTGGTGGGGAGCTGCTTGAGCATTGAACTGACGTTGTAGGCCGGGGTAAGTCCTACGAGAAGCCCAGCTGCATGTGCCTGTTCGGGGAAGGTGATCCCAATGTCCTTGAGCTCCTCATGGATGTTGCGGATTTCAGAGATGTAGTCCGCCATGCCCGGGCATTCCTCAAGGCGGATTTGGAACATGCGAGGAATGAGGATTGCAACTCCTACTGCAGTTTTGTCATGAAAACGGTCCTGGAGGTATTTCCAAATGTCATGCGCAGAGAGGAAGGTGCGGTAGGACTTGACAAGCTCAACTGGGGTAGTGGTGATGAAAACCCTAATGACTGCCGCATCCGCCTGCTCCCACAGACTGAAGTCAGTTTCATACTTGGTGGTCTTAGCATCGAAAGCACTCCTGGCTGTGGCAGTGGCGCCTTCGCCGAGAGGATCGAGAGGGAGAGGCATCTTCCCCTTGCCACGGTTGAGGAGGATGTCCTTGAGGCAAATCCCCTTTGAGCTCCGAGCTAAGGAGGTGCTTCTCCACTCCATAGCACCACTCCCCGAAGTTGGTGCTCGTGCCGTTGGGAGCGAGGTTAAGGATGATGAGGTTTCCGACGAGGGTGGAAGTAGAAGTCGCCATTTCGCGCGGAGCGCAGCGCTAAAGTCTCCGATAAGTAGCGGAGCGAAGCGGGATTGAAGGAAGTCCAAAACGCGATTTCGGCAATATAAAGCCCGTATTCTGATCTGCTATACTGCTTCGCCGATGCCCCCTGTTCTGCTTCGCCGCTGCCCCTTTTCCGCTTCTCTGCTGCGCCGCTGACCTGTTCTGCTGCGCCGCTGACCTGTTCTGCTGCGCCGCTGAACCTGTTCCGCTGCGCCGCTGAACCTCTTCTGCTGCGCCGCTGAACCTGTTCTGCTGCGCCGCTGAACCTGTTCGGCTGCACCGCTGGACCTGTTCCGCTGCGCCGCTGGACCTGTTCCGCTGCGCCGCTGGACCTGTTCCGCTGCGCCGCTGGACCTGTTCCGCTGCGCCGCTGAACCTGTTCTGTTGCGCCGCTGGACCTGTTCCGCTGCGCCGCTGGACCTGTTCCGCTGCGCCGCTGGACCTGTTCCGCTGCGCCGCTGGACCTGTTCCGCTGCGCCGCTGGACCTGGTCCGCTGCGCCGCTGAAAGCCTGTTCTGCTGCGCCGATGAAAACCTGTTCGAAGTTAAGAAATTGCGAAATTTGCCACGGAGATGAAAAACCAGAAGCTTACGATGAAGGAAGTTGAAGGCGGAAAATGTCGCCGTTGAAATCCGAGATGCGCGATGAAGGAAGCCGAATGCGCGTTTGTCCGGAGCGACGAAGTGAAGTTGAAAAACGCTGAGCGTAGGAGCCGGGAGCCGAAATAGGCATAGCATAGAAGAAGAGAACCATCGCGACGCCAAGGATCGGATTCCGCGTGAGCGGAGTTTACTAGCTCGATACCATTATAGAACTGGAGCTGAACTGATTGATTGATAAAGAAGGCACTAGGCCTTAAGTACAAACACGGTTGGGTTGAGCAAGGCTAGGGAAAGGATGGGATGGGAATCCTAGCAAATCTCCAATTGGTGAGTTGGCAGATTTGCAGGATTACGAGGGAATCCCAACCAGATAGGGTTGGGATTACAAATCTACACCCAACCTACAAAGTAACCTTAAACCATATAAAATAGAGTACACAAAGTGTTGACAGCCTATTTCTAACACCTGTCACCAAGGAAAGGGAGAAAAGGAGGGACAGGAGCACCACGCGTAGATTCATGTGGCTCCCCACAGGATATTTGTGCAAGGCCAGGAGAAAAAAACACGTTCACACTCTTAGAAGTGTTTGAAGCATAGGTGGCAACCTGTTTTTTCTGCGTGAAGCTGAATCGTCCAACATATTATCAATTATGCCGATGGCAATAACGACCAGAATTTGCATGGCTGCACCAACGCCAACTACTAGATATAGGCAACTTACTTTATTCCCTTCATGATTACTCTTCCATTTGCTCCTCGGTCGCCAACCACTTTTCCGTTGCTACGAGTAGGAGTGAGCCTGGCCACATAACGCACTGGAAAGGGAAGGCATGGCAGGCACAAAGGAAAAGGTAACTGGAAAAATGCTCCAAGTAGTCTCAGTTTCTGGTCCTTGGATGATTGGTCCGAGGGAGTTAGTAGGTGCGTTAACTCGTGCGTGAACCAGACGTTCCGTTGTGGAAAGACAGTACGACCCTAGTAGGCAACAACCGGTGGAGTAGTAACAGTAACAAACGGAGCACAGCCCGACACCTCGCAGCTGGAAGGTAAGACATTTGTTTTTAATGGAAATCATTGCTCAATTTTCCAGTTTCGAGACGTCTCTAGAATCGGAGAAACAATAGGCTGAAGGAAGAACTTACAAAACACCTTTCCCTTCACCGACGGAGTGGCGTGAACGGAGGAAGTGACAGGCAGCCGTCCAGCGGCGGGGAGGAAGGCTGCGAGGGACGCTGAAGGTGACGCAGGGGGGGTCGTTGGGAGCGATGATGGCCTTGCAGACTCTGCACCCACCGTGACGACCGTTACAACTGCACAAGGCACACACAGCACCCAATACAAGCTTTAATCAGAAGGCGGTAGAGCCATGGATGCGCTTGCGAAAGGGCGTCAATGGGCGGCGCTCACGTATTACTACCAGCAAAATGTAGTTCGCTCCATGATAAGAGATGAGAGAGAGACGAGCCGTTGATATACAGTACTAAAGATCGTAGATAAGCAGCTTACTTGAGACATGAAATTTTTGTTGCAGGCCCACACCAGTGGAAGGCCGGCACTGACGAGCACTACGGCGGTGATGCGTGTTGCGGATGCCCCTGCTCCACAAGCGGGGTCTGTTTTCGAGCAGTACAACAATGCCACTGGGGGCAAGCTCCGCGGGTTTCAGGCAGTCGTGCGCCGCCATGGTTACTGCAGCGTGGAAACTATGGTACGAACTCGCACGCATAGGTGCATGGGTGATGGTGGGGAGGGGACAGTAGAGTGTGGAGACAGAGCGGGTAGGTGAGGAGGGGTGGGGGACAACAGGTGGAAGGGTGAGTGTGGTGGTGGAGTGGGGGGCAGTGGTGGAAGGGTGAGACCCTTGAGGTGGGGGACATACATGGAAGGGTTTGTGAGGTGGAGTGGGGGACGGAGGTGAAAGGGTGAGAGTGATGGCGTGGGGCACATAGGGAGAAGGATGAGGGTCTTAGGTGGGGGACAGAGGTGGAAGGGTGAGTGTGGTGGAGTGGGGGACGGAGGTGGAAGGTAAGTACCCTGGGGTGGGGGTCAGAGATAGAAGGGTGAGCTTCATGGGGTGGGGGACAGAGGAGGTGGGGTGGGGGACAGAGGTAGAAGGATGAGTATGGTGGAGTGGGGGGGCAGAGATGGAAGGGTGAGTGGGATGGGGGGCTAAACAGAGGTGGAAGGGTGGGTGTCCCGGGATGGGGGACAGAGGTGGAAGGGTGGGTGTCAGGGGGTGGGGGACTGAGGTGGAAGTGTGAGTGTGGTGGTGTGGAGGTCAGAGGTAGAAGGGTGAGTGTGGTGGAGTGGGGGACAGAAATGGAAGGGTGAGTGTCATAGGGTGGGGGACAGAGGTGGAAGGGTAAGTGTGGTGGGGTGGGGGACAGGGGTGGAAGGGTGAGTGTGGAGTGGGGGACAGAGGTAGAAGGGTAAGTGTGGTGGGGTGGGGGACAGAGATAGAAGGGTGAGTGTGGTGGGGTGGGGTACAGAGGTAGAAGGGTGAGTGTGGTGGAGTGTGGGGGCAAAGAATGGAAGATTGAGTGGGAGTTGGATGGCGGGCATGAAGCGCATGTTCTCAGATATGAACTGGAGAGAGTGATGCGAGGTTGCACAGGCTAGAGCAGCGGGGTGTTGGCTTGACACCCTGTACTATACTGCTGAACCCATCCCTGCACCATTGGCATCCCATAACTTGTCACCAAGCGCACAGAGCGGCACTGTAGATCTCTCCCCACTCCCTAAACCTCTAGTCCGCATCTGCCCTGGTTTACACAGTCACCTTAGTGCACTCACAACGTCGCATCTTCTGCCACATGCATCACCCCATCCTACACACCAGACAGGTTATCAGTAAACCCCGCATCCCCTGTCCTCCTCCCCCCATTCCGTGCTGTGTCTTTGTGGATGTCGCCCACCACAGATACACCGTGCTGTTGCCTTGCCAGCACCAGATGTGCGCACAGGCGAGGCGTCGGCCAAGTATGCATGGGCAGCACCATCGCACCACGGCACAACTGTGTTCTCGTTCGTGGCATATGGGTCCGAGGCGCGTGGGGGAAGCTATGGCCAGGTGCTTTTGCTGATGCGAGCACGCAAGGCCAGGGACGGGCCTGGCGCTCAGTTGCACGAGGTGGCTTATATAAAGCCATGGAAGGAGCTCGGAGTGGACGACATCACAGATTGTGTGAAGCTGGAGGCAGTCGGGGATCCCGAGGCATGTGTTATTGTTCCAGTAGCCCACCTTAGGCGTGTTGTGCACATCGTGAGGTCGTTTGCCCGAACAAGGACCTGGTTGTTGAACAAGTGGGCCGAGGGGCTGCGACATGGTGGTGTTCGAAAGGTGCCTCTGCTATATGCCCTGGCCACCGTTGCGCTGGTTTATGAAAGATTATTGCAGGCGTATGATTGCATTGGAATAATATGAGATAGTTAAGTACGATAGACATGTGAGAAGTGTGTGTATTCACAGGCTCGCGTATCTTGACAAGTATATACCCAGATACTGAGTGGTCTTGTTGGACCCTAAACACTGAGTACAACCCTAAATCGAACCCTAAACCCAAAGCTTCAAGTGGTTAATCGTTCTCACAATTTATGTTCCCTATATCTATGCTAGTGAAACAAAGTAGGCTGTAATACACCATATTACACTGAACCTAAAAAATTGTCAGTTCTCGTGTGCTTTGTATCGAGATACACATACAACAGGTTTGGAATTCCCGTACGTAGCAGCCTCGGGAGTGGCAAAGAAGCTCCAAAGTTAACAGCCAGTGACATTCCCGCCAACGTTGGGGTAACCTCGGGGTACCCTCCCGAACTGTAAACACCGCCGATTGGTCGAAGTGTCTGTTACCATGGTGGGCGCTACGGTTAGCGGTCGTCGCTGACGTCGCCAGAGTCTGGGGGTAAGATGTAGGTAACACCGAGGGAACTTGTGGGTCACCCCGTGAGGGTGACTTTGGGGTCTCCCGCGATTTCAAAGTGATTGTTGCGTTTGCAATTTTGGGATGGAGGACTAAAATAAGCGCCGCGCGTTTTCAAGTACAACCATCTTCGTATCAGTTCGGTGCTAATCTTGGACGGACCATCATTGTGCCGAGTCGCGGCGTGAAATCTTTCACATGACGACGGTGCCAGTAGCAGGACATGTCACCCATGTAGCACATGCTTGTGGCATAAACATAGAAACAATTCGCGCTGCACATGTCCAAAGCGGGCAGCAGGAGGGAGGAATGGTCAGATTGGAGAGATGTCTGACTTTCCCGGTTCTGACACGTGCACTGAGTCGTCGGGTTCCTCAGTCCTGAAGCTGGCCATTGTGCGAAAGCTAGGCATCTCCCTGCTGACACCGTCCGAACGGCATCTCGGACCGTCCGTTTTGGCTGCGCTGTCATTGGCGCACGAATTTGTTGAAAAATTCACCCAGTATCGTGCCTCAGATTTCTTGTGGCGAAAATCACGAGCGCTGTACGATTGCTGTAATGTGTGGTACATTTCAGGGCGATTTTTTTTTTTTTTTTTTTTTTTTTCGGAAGTACAAGTTTCACATTGGTGGTCCGGACGGGCTGTCGTCCAGACCAGAGTCCCAAACGTCCGGACGGAGCTCAGTTCAGACGGTTTGGGTGCTCCGTCCGGACATTGGGCGGAAACAGAAAAAAGTTACGCGCCCTTACGTGGAGGGTTGTTCCCAACGCATCTCCCCGCCAACAAGAACGGTAGAATTGAAGGTATTTTGAGTTGGAAGGAAGGGATGGGGGAGGCGAAACAAAGGTTTCCTGACCTGACGCAACCGGAGCTGACGAAGCGAAGAGACTTGGCATGGACTTGTCAGTGGCGATATTGCGATTTTGAGCTGGGAAACGTGGCAATAACAGTGATGGTTTCGCGAGATTTCGCGAACTACCTCGGCACAGAAAACTCGTCACAAGTAGACTCCCTGCGTTTTATTCGTTAATCTGGAACTATTAGTCTTTATGACTGTGAAAGTTCAACTATACACTAATCTATTATTTGTCAGAATACTAGGAAGAAGTAATGGTTGACTAAAGCAGGATGAGTGGTACAAGTAGCAACCCTAACAAAGGGTTGTACCCCATAGGGAGTAACCCACTACAGCCTAACATCACTAACATGATATAAACATGTTTTGACACACCCCCATAGGCAAAGTGGGGGACAACAAAGGGGTCACAAGACCAGTCAAGAGAAGAAGCAAAGCAAAGCAAAGCCCAGGGTGGATCACAAGGTCACTACGCATTCTGAGCACAAGCAAGCGGCCACAAGGCCAGTTCACATGCAGAGTTTATAGTAGCGAAGAGCAGTACACTGATCACAACCTAGCAAGTGTAAGCATGCAGGTATACTCATATATATCAGTGTACAACAAGAGCAAGATCAAGAGACAAGCAAGTGAGGCAGAGTGGGCACAAGCCCAAGAGCAGTGCAGAAACGCTGATGATCACTAGACCCAAGGGCCTTGGTGAAAACATCAGCAGTGTTGGCCCGAGTGGCCACGTAAGCAAGACGAAGCTGACCACGCTGCTGGAGCTCTCGCGTGAGGAAGTAACGGAGAGCAATGTGCTTCGTTCTGTGCTCCAGTCTCTGGTCCTGGCACAAGGCAATCATGGCCTTGTTGTCGACGTACAGAACTGGAGGAGAACGAGGCTGCTCACCCAAGTCGGTCAGCAGGTAGGTCAGCCACCAGAGCTCCTGTGCAGCCATAGCCCCAGCGTAGATCTCGGCCTCACAGCTGGAACTAAGTACAGAGGTAGAGCGAGTGGACCTCCACGAGACAGAACCAGTGCCGAGGCTGAAACTGTACCCCTGTGTCGACTGGTGAGTCGTCTGGTCGTCAGCCCAAGAAGCGTCTGAGTGACCGGTGAGAACAACTGGACCCCGTCCTCCAAGCACAAGCCCCATGCCCGATGTGCTGCACAAGTAACGCAATACCCACTTCGCAGCATCCCAGTGCATCTTTCGATGCCTACCGGGAGCCACGTAGCGAGCCAGGAGGCTGAGAGGGTACGCGATGTCAGGTCGTGTGCATGTCATCAGGTACATGAGGCAACCCACAAGCTCTGGGTACGGACCAGTCGGCTCTACGGACTCGTCCGAAGGTGGAGCTGAGAGCGAGTGGCCGGTAGACAGAGGAGTGGGCTGTGGCGAGGACCACGTGAAGTCGAAGCGCTGAAGGACCTGCTGCACCATGTGTGACTGAGTGAGGGTGATGGTGCGGCGTGCTCTGTCCCGGGTGATCTGCAAGCCAAGGTAGCTCCGCAGCTCACCTAGGTCAGTGCAAGTGTGTCTCTCCTGCAGCTCCGCCTTCACCAAGGCCAGAGCCTCAGTGTCAGCAGTAGCAAAAACCAAGTCGTCAACGTACACAAGAACGTAGAACGGCGGCAGAGAAGTGTCTGTGCGCAGAAACAGCGAAGGGTCAGCAGTCGAGGGAGCGAAGCCAAGAGCCGCAAGCGTAGTCCTCAGTGTGTCGTGCCACTCTCGGGGCGCCTATCGAAGGCCGTAGACTGGTCGCCGAAGACTCCACTGGGTACCCTCAGGAAACGACCCAGTGAAGCCACGTGGACGGCGCAACCAGATAGCCTCGTGAAGACTACCCTGCAAGAAGGCTGTCGAGAAGTCAAGGGAGTGCAGCTCGTAGTCACGCTGTGCTGCAACGTGCAGTAGCACCCGAAGAGTGGTCATCTTCGGGGTGGGGGAGAAGGTCTGAAAGAAGTCGACCCCCGCACGCTGACTGAAGCCTCGAGCAACGTAACGCGCCTTGAAGACAGGCGGAGAACCCGGCGGCCGCTTCACCCTGAAAATCCACATGCCATCGACTATGTTCGCCCCAGGTGGGGGAACCTCGTCGACGTAGGTGCCTGTGGACTTCCAGGAAGCCATCTCTGCGTCCATGGCTATCTGCCACTGAGAGGAGTACGGACCCGTAATCGCCTCTGCGTAAGTGCGTGGGGTCGGGATGTCTGGTGCATCCGGGTCTCCCTCAGGGCAAAGTAGCGAGGACGCGAGATGCGGTGAAGCGGCCGCGAGACACTCCAGCTCAAACTGCCTGTCCTCAAGAACGTCACAGCCAAGGGCAAGCTCACCCCCGACGGACGGAGGTTAGGAAGAGTCAAAGACAAGACTCGCAGCGTAGTTAAGGCGGCACAAAGCGGCAAAGTCAACAAGCTCAGTGACTAAGGCAGACGCAGCAGCAGACTCAAAGGAAGGGTCAGTCACAACTGTGGCAAGGAGACGAGTGACAATCGGACTAGCAGCACGAACAAGGTCTGACTCAGGGTCAGGAACGTGAGGAAGAGAGGACGCAGGAGGAGAAGGCAGGACAAAACGCTGAGGAACAGAGGAAGGACGAAGTGCCATACGGTGAGTGCCTGGCACAGCGGGAGCACGAGGACGGACAACATGACGACCGCGAACATGGGTGGAAGCACGAGTCTCAGGCTCACAACGCTCAGGAGTGGACGCTCGGGTCTCAGGCTCACGACGCGCAGTCAGGGACGCAGTGACCTCAGTGTGAGGAGCAGGAGCAGGCAGCGGGGAGCCAGGCAGTAGCTGTGGCTGAGACTGGTCAGTCGGTGGGAACAGTAACGGAGGAGTAGTACCAGGAACCGGGAACTCAGTAGCAGCAGGTGGGAGACTGAGAAGGCGACCAAGCGCAGACAGCTGCGGCTGAGTAGTCGCACCCCTAGAACCTCCCGCTCCAGTAGCAACAGCACCCCCAGAACCAGTGCCCCGGGCTCCAGTAGCAACAACACCCCCAGAACCACTAGAACCTCCAGCTCCAGCAGCTCCAGCATTTCCAGCTCCAAGACGGCTAGCTCCACCACCAGGGCTGCCCCACCGGACAGCCCACTCGCGCAGCCGCTCCGGCGAGAGAGCCTCCTGCCGACTAGCACCACGAACTCCAGTACCTCCAACAGCACCTCCAGTAGTACCTCCAGTGTCAGCACCTCTAGCACCGCCAGTGGTACCTGCACCTCCAGCACCTCCAGCAGCGTCTGTACCTCCAGTACTAGGTACACCAGCACCAACACCTCCAGGGCTAGCACCTCCAGAACCTGAACCTCCAGCACCTCCAGCAGCACCTGTGCCTCCAGTAGCAGGAACACCTGGACTAGCACCTCCAGGGCTAGCACCTCCAGAACCTGCAGCTCCAGTACGTCCAGCGCCACCACCAGGACTGCCCCAACGGACAGCCCACTCGCGAAGCCGCTCCGGCGAGAGAGACGCATGGCGACGTGCACCAGGACTACCCGCAGCAGCACCCACACTAGCAGCACCTCCAAGACCTCCAGCTCTAGGAGAGCGAGCACGGCTAGCTCCACCACCAGGGCTACCCCACTGTACAGCCCACTCGCGAAGCCGCTCCGGCGAGAGAGTCGCCCGCCGACGTGCAGCAGTGCCACCAGTACGAGCAACCACAGTACCACCAGTAGCAGAACCTCCAGCTCCAGCAGCTCCAGCACCTCCAGCTCCAAGACGGCTAGCTCCACCACCAGGGCTGCCCCACTGGACAGCCCACTCGCGCAGCCGCTCCGGCGAGAGAGCCTCCTGCCGACTCGTAGCAGGACCACCAACACCAGTACCTCCTGTACCCAGAGGACCCTCAGCACCCCCAGAACCAGCACCCCCTGTGGTACGACCTCCTGCAGCACCAGAGTCCACAACAGCAGGCTGCAGCGGCGGTGAAGACGGTCGAGGCGGAAACCCAGGAGGGACAGCCAAGCGTGCAGAGCGGCGAGGGGTCACTGTGGCAGCAGGAGCCGGGTCACCCCCCTCAGCTGGGCCAGAGGTGTCTGAGGAGACCTCCAAAGGCTCAACCAAGGGGGGTGGGTCTACCTGAGACACACCTGAGGGAGCGGGACCGTGAGGAGGGAGGGGGGCTACCGGGGGGGGGGTCGTCCACCAGGGTGAGAGGGGGGAGGGGCACCGGGGAATTGCGGTGGGGGTGAAGACGGTAGAAGCAGACGGACTCGTCAAAGGTCACGTCCTGGGAGGACAGCACACAACGAGAGCCCGGGTGGTAAAACTGTCAGGGCGGTGCGTCGGTGGGGAAGCCAAGAAACACGCACCGAAGAGTGCGTGGAGAGAGTTTGCTCGCAGGCAAGTCGCGGACAAGAGAGAGGGAACCCCATACCCGAAACGCCGACGCATCACCAACCTCGCCCGTCCACCGCAAAGTGGGGGAGGTCTCTGGGTGGGAGACACGTGGCCAGAGGTTGAGCTGCTCAGCGGCGTATCGGACCGCAAACGGCCACAGAAAATGGGGAGCAGCCGCATGGATCATGGAGGTGCGAGCAACATCCATGACAAGACCAATGCGGCGCTCTGCAATCCCATTCTGCTGTGGAGAGGCCGGAAGCGTGTACGTTTGGCTGATGCCCTCAGCACCACAGAAGTCCTCGAGGAGGTGGGAGCAAAACTCACCACCTCGGTCAGAGTGCAGCCGCAGGACTGGAAGGTCCTCACGGAACCGAGCGCGAAGCTGGAGACGAACAGCGCGGATCCAGCGGATCAAGACACCGCGGACATCCGCCTTGCTCTGCAAGGGGAAGACCGTGGTGTAGCGCGTGTAGTCGTCGACTACCAGCAAAAAGTAGCGCTCGCCACCCTGTCCAGTGACGCGGGCGGGGCCCCACACGTCCATGTGCAGGGTCTGCAAAGGAGCAGTGGTAGGAGGAAACGAGGAGGAGTGAGGAGCGGCGCGCTGCCGCCCCTCGACGCAGGGAAGGCAAGGCGGTGCAAGCGACCTCGGGAGCGGGGGCAGGGACCTGGGGAGACCGGACACAAGGAGACGAGAGTGCATGCCACGCAGGCGTGGCAAGGAGGGGTGGCCAAGACGGTGGTGCCAGAGGAGTGTCTGGTGCGTGAGGAGACGACACGAACAAGACGAGGCGACCTCAACCGACGCAGCTACCTGACCTGACTCAGCTACCAGTGCAGACTCAGTGGTCAGTGTGTACAGGCCAGACCCAGGCCTCCGAGTGAACGTGGCGAGGTGCTCACCAGTGCGCGAGTCCGTACAGATCGCCACTAGCTCGCCTCCAGGCTGGGTGACAGTGACCCATTGGTCCTGGAGGACAGAGGTAGCCACCAAGTTCTTAGCGAACGAGGGGAGGTGGAGACCTGTGAGGAGGCCGGAAGGGGCCGCCGGACAAGGGAGAACAGTGGCGCCACGCGCGACTACCGGGCCCTCAGAGGGGTCGGCCAGTGTGACAGGGACAGGGACTGTGAGCGGTGTGACTGTGGTGCTGTCGCGGAAGAAGCAACGAGATGCGCCGGAGTCGAGAGTAAAAGTGTGCAAGGCCTCCTCAGGCTCTGCACCTGTGCTAGCTGAGTCAACAGCACCAAGACTAACAGCCTCTACGCCACCAGGTGCCTCTCCACCCCCAGCACTAGTACCCCAAGCTCCGCCACCGGGGCTGCCCCACCGGACAGCCCACTCACGAAGCTGCTGCGGGGAGAGAGTCTCCGGCGGACGCTGCTGCCGCTGCTGTCCACCCCCAGAACCTCCGCGTCTACCAGCGGCACTACCAACAGGAGTAGACTCACAGGGACCTCCAGTAGTAGCACACCAGGCTCCGCCACCGGGGCTGCCCCACCGGACAGCCCTCTCGCGAAGCTGCTGCGACGAGAGCGGCTCCCGCCGACGAGTACGAGGACCGCCAGCACCAGCACCTCCAGCCCTAGCACGGCTAGCTCCGCCACCGGGGCTGCCCCACCAGATAGCCCACTCGCGAAGCTGCTGCGGCGAGAGAGACTCCTGCACACTCGGCTGCCGCTGACGTAGGACAGTGGTAGTGGCCATGGCAGGCAGTGGCAGCTAGCAGCAGCAGCTACGTAGCAGCAGTAGCACAGGCGGCAATAGCAGGCGGTAGCACCTAGGGCGGTAGCAGCAGGCGGCAGCACCTAGGGCAGTAGCAAGCAGTAGCTCCTAGGGCAGCAGCACCTAGGGTTTTTTTTTTTTTTTTTTTTTTTTTTTTTTGGGTTTAATAGGGCGCGCTCGGTGCTGGGCAGCAGGGCGCGCTAGCGCGCTGGGCAGCGGGGCGCGCTGGCGCGCTGGGCAGCGGGGCGCGTTGGCGCGCTGGGCAGCGGGGCGCGCTGGCGCGCTGGGCAGCGGGGCGCGCTGGCGCGTTGGGCAGCGGGGCGCGCTGGCGCGCTGGGCAGCGGGGAGCGCTGGCGCGTCGGGCAGCGGGGCGCGCTGGCGCGTTGGGCAGCGGGGCGCGCTGGCGCGCTGGGCAGCGGGGCGCGCTGGCGCGCTGGGCAGCGGGGCGCGCTGGCGCGCTGGGCAGCGGGGCGCGCTGGCGCGCTGGGCAGCGGGGCGCGCTGGGCAGCGGGGCGCGCTGGCGCGCTGGGCAGCGGGGCGCGCTGGCGCGCTGGGCAGCGGGGCGCGCTGGCGCGCTGGGCAGCAGGGCGCGCTGGCGCGTCGAGCAGCAGGGCGCGCTGGCGCGTCGGGCAGCAGGGCGCGCTGGCGTGCTGGGCAGCAGGGCGCGCTAGCGCTGTGGGCAGCAGGGTGCGCGTACAGAGCGCGCGAGCAGGCACTGCGGCGCAGCTGCAGGCAGAGCGCGCGCGAACAGGGCGGCGCTCAGGCAGGGCAGCAGGGCGCTCAGTAGCAGGGCAGCTGGGCGCGCGGGGGCAGGGCAGTAAGGCGCGCGCTGGCGCTAGGCAGCAGGGCAGGAAAAAAAAAGTTTCAAGTCCGGGCAGGGCGGAACGTTCGGTGGGCCCTAAGGAACGTACATACTCTAATACCATGTCTGAATACTAGGAAGAAGTAATGGTTGACTAAAGCAGGATGAGTGGTACAAGTAGCAACCCTAACAAAGGGTTGTACCCCATAGGGAGTAACCCACTACAGCCTAACATCACTAACATGATATAAACATGTTTAGACATTATTATTATCACCAAATCGGTTGTTTTTACCGTGCATCATGCTTCGCAATATGCTGCAATTGAGGCAATGGTAGGATACATTGGTATCAAACAATCTTCTGTTGTAGAAGTAACTTTTCCGCGCTTCTGCCTCAGCTCATACGGTAAGAGATCCACCCTTTTGATGTGCAAAACAGATGCTAAATCACAAATTCACAATCTATGCATCACTGCTCAATCAAAATGGTAGTGACAATATGCTACCTGTGGTGACTACCAGTACGAAAATAACACAATCTGCATATAAAGCACGGGTACGCTATTTACAAGGTGATCTCGAATCCTGCAAACCGTGGTGCAAGATAACACAATGAGCTACACTCTAGCCCCTGGGTCCTATCCCATGTTGGAGCATCACTTGCAGATGTCCTTACCAGATTCAGACATGACCGTGAAATGGTCATGCTTATACGGGTAGCTTCTTCAACTTCCCGCAAAGTGCATGGTCATTTTCCGGATGAGACACAGCCAAATGCCAGCCTGATGATTGATGAGTATAGGAAAGAATGTATGCCCGAATATCGGCCTGTGATCCTGGGCCGATAACCGTTGAGGTAGCGAAGCTGTAACGCTTGGGCCGACCACCGCTGGTACGCGTGATGTTCTCCCAACCAATACCTTCATATCCTTCCTCATACATGCCAGCAAGGCAATCCGAAACGGCGCTCATGTAGGGCGCAGCCCCTCCAGACTGGATTTTGTTGACACGCATCTTGAGCACGAGGTAGCAGGCACTTGCAGAGGCCCTGTCACCGAGGCAAGGGAGATTAGGAGGGACAGGAGCACCACGTGTTGATTCATGTGGCTCTCCACGCGATAATTGTGCAAGGTCAGGAGAATAAGAGACGTTCAGACTCTTAGAAGTGTTTAACGCATAGGTAGCAACCTGCTTTTTTTTGCGATAAGCTGAATAGTCCAAGATATCATCAATAATGTAGATGGCAATAACTGCCAGCAATTGCATGGCTGCACCAAAGCCAAGTACAGTGGTTATGAAGTAGCGAACTTACTTCATTCCCTTCATAATCACTTTTCCAGTTGCTCCTCGGTCGCCAACCACTTTTCCGTTGCTACGAGGGGGAGTGAGCCTGGCCACATAGCGCACTGGAAAGGGAAGGCAGGGCAGGCACAAAGGTAACTGAAAGACACCCAAGTAATTTCCGCTTCTGGTCCTTGGATGATTGGTCCAAGGGAGTTAATAGGTGCGTTGACCCGTACGTGAGCCAGACTTTCCATTCTAGAAAGACAGCATGACCTTCTGCAATTGGTGGAGTAGTAACAGTAACAAACAGAGCACAGCCCAACACCTCGTTGCTGGAAGCTGACAGAAAGTCACTGATGAGTTTCCAAGAATTCTGAAAAACACCTGAAAAAACACCAAGCTGAAGGAAGGACTTACGAAACACCTTTCCCTTCACCGACGGAGTGGCACGACCTGAGGAAGTGACAGGCAGCCGTCCGGCGGCGGGGAGGAAGGCTGCGAGGGACGCTGGAGGTGACGCTGGGGGGGTTGTAGGGAGCGATGATGACGTTGCAGACTCTGCACCCACCGTGACGACCGTTACAACTGCACAAGGCACAAACACCACCCAACACGAGCGTTACAACTGCACAAGGCACAAACACCACCCAACACGAGCGTTACAACTGCACAAGGCACAAACACCACCCAAGACGAGCTTTAATCAGAAGGCGGCAGAGACGTGCATCGGATGCACTCGCGAAAAGGCCGTGAATGGGTAGCGCTCACGTATAAGTACCCAGCAAAGCACAGTCCGCTCCATGATACGAGATGAGAGAGAGACGAGCGGCCGTTGATGTTACAGTACTAGTAGTGGCAGTAAGCAAGGTTCAGAAGCGAGCAAAGATGCGGGACTAGATAACAACGCGTTGTTCAAGAACAACCAGGTTCGTTGCTACTTATGCGCGCGGGTGGGGCTCTTTAGAGCAGTTGGTTGATAATCATTGTCGTGCGACTTGCCTGAAACCTTTCACACGACGATGGTGCCAGGAGACTGGCATGTCACCCAAGCAGCACATGCACAAGCACGGACGATTCGCGCTGCACATATCCGCTTGGCAAGCGGGCCGCGGTTGGGAGGAACGGTCACATGGAAGGTGTCTGCCTTTCCGGGTTCCGGGTACAGTCGTCGGATTCCTTTCAGTCCAGAAGCTCTCCTTTGTGCGAGACTTAGGCTCAGTGGAGGGCTTCTCCCAACGCATCTCCCGCAAAAAAGAACGGAGGAATCGAGGTTGATTCGAACTTGTATATTAGGGGAGGCGAAGCCGCAAGATTATCTAAGGGAGGGCGAGGTCAGCGCATTCGTCCTGACCTGACTCGAGTGGAAGCGAAGCGTAACTGGCGTGGACTGTCAGTGACGTTTTCGCGAAGATGCGTTGGCAAACGTGGCGATGATCAGTGGCGAAAAATCGGATTTCGCGAAGTTTCGGTGACCGCTCCGCAATGAACAGCTCGTCACAAAGCTGACTCGCAGCGCTCTATTATCGCTAGTCTGGAGACTGGAAGCTCCTATAGAGCAGTTCGGTGACGAATCGCCGTCGTCCCGAGTCGCGACATGAAATCATGATGCACACGACTCGGACAGGCAGAGCAGGACATGCCACCCAAGCAGCACATGCACAAGCAGACGACTCGCGCTGCACGTGTCCAAGCAGGCCGCGGGAGGGAGGGAGGAATGGTCACGACTCACGATAAGGAAAGGTGTCTGCCTTTCTGGGTTCTGAGTCTGACACGTGTGCTGAGTCGTCGGATTCCTCTCAGTCCAGAAGCTCGCCTTTGTGCAAAGGCTAGAACTCCCAATGCATCTCCCGCCAACGAACACGGAGGAATCGAAAATTGTAAATCGAAACTAGAAATGGGCGTGGAGTGGATGTGCCGAGGTTCGCATCGTTGGTATGTCTGTTATCTTGCTCTTTGCTGTGATTGGCTATTCGTGACACACTTTCGCGACTAGCGAAATCGCTACTTCGCTCATGCTATTCCCATCCACAACCCCCTCGCAGTCCCCCTCGCCTAGCTGATCCCCTCCCCCCCCCCACATCAAGATTCTTGTGCAACTCAGAGAAACGCACAGTATGTCAACTATTTGGTCAATAATGTTTTACAATAACGAACTGACATACCGAATTGTAGCAATTTCTATAACACTTATCACCGGAATAAGGCCAGCGCCCACAAAAATAAAATAAAAACACATTTCAGAACAATACATTATCCAAAACAGGATATCATAAAAGTTCGTGTATGTATAGTAAACCAAACCACATGGGCATGTCCCATAAGTCCCTTATTTGCATGACTGTAGTCTTGTCTTACACTCGACCCTTCATGCATAAGGCAGATGGAAGCTAATGTCCTGGCCTCCCAGTCCCAGCCACCTACATGCCAGTTGGCTTCCATATACCATGTGGTGTGACGCGCGTCTGTGCGCGTGGTGTGGTACAGTGGGGTGCAGCATGGTGCAGGGAGTTGTGGCAGCCTTGCAACTGCTGCTGAATCGCGAGCTCATGTCAGGCGGCCAAGAATGCCTTTGAATCAAGAGCAGGTGAGGTTGGGGGGAGGGAGCGGGATGGTGCTGCCGACAGTAGTAGAGTGGATACCAGCATTGGCAATGGCCTCATGCACTGTTGCCAGCCACAGCTGCAGCTGTATGGAGGGAAGGAGGAATTACACGGGAGGTAGGGAAAGAATGGTGGTTAGACATGTTTGAGATGCATCAAAGCTGGAGTTGATGCCGGCATTGGCAATGGCCTCATGCACTGTTCCCAGCCACAGCTGCAGCTGCACGGAGGGAAGGAGGCATTACACGGGAGGTAGGGAGAGAATGGTGGTTAGATGGACATGTTTGAGATGCATCAAGCTGGAGTTGATGCCGGCATTGGCGATGGCCTCATGCACTGTTCCCAGCCACAGCTGCAGCTGCACGGAGGGAAGGAGGAATTACACGGGAGGTAGGGAGAGAGTGGTGGTTAGATGGACATGTTTGAGATGCATCAAAGCTGGAGTTGATGCCAGCATTGGCAATGGCCTCATGCACTGTTGCCAGCCACAGCTGCAGCTGCACATTGAACGGGGGAGGGAGGCATGGCATGAAAAGAACGGCTTGAGTTGAGATGGGAGCACAGCAGCAAGAGAGGTGATGCAGGAGTGTGACATGACATGGATGGATACAAGCAGAGAGCCATGCATTTCTCCATCCATTCTGGTAAAATATTTGTTTTGAGACATCTCAAAACAACTGTTTTATCACGTGGATACAAGCAGAGAGCCACGCATTTCTCCATCCGTTCTGCCTCGAAACTTCCAATTCGGCTCGAAACCATGCTGCTGAGCACCGCAACACGATGACATGGCACCACCCCTCCATGCATCCATCCATGCACCTAGTCCTCACCTTGGCACAGCTACGAGTGGCGCACTCCAGCTTGAACCCGTAGCTGGTTGTGACATGGAACGCAAACCACTCCTCCGATGATGATGCTGACGACGATGATGATGATAATGGCGCTGCTACATCCGGTGCTACAGAAGACGCTACAGCCGCTGATGTCTCCTTTGCTGCAGCCGGTGCTACAGCCGGAGGTGCAGGCGCCATGCGGAGGGTGCCAGCAGAGGCGATGGAGGCGACGGGGAGGGTGATCTGCGGGTGCAGGTCGGTGGCGTGCAGGTAGCAGGCGATGTCGGTGGGTGTGAGTGTCACGAAGCGCGGCACCCACTCGTCCTCTTCTGTGGTGTTGCTGGGGTTGAGAGTAGGTGGGTCGTTGGGGGTGGACGCCCATTTCTGGGAGGAGGGGAAGCAAGGAGGGAGAGGGGAAAGGGGGAACAGGAAGAAGGGAGGAAGGGGGAACATGTGAAAAAGGGAGGGAGGAAGGAAAGGGGGAGGAGGGTTGATGGGGATTTGCGGGTACAGGAGAGTATGTGGAGTGGAAGAGAAAGAGTAGGAAGGGAAAGAGACATGCCTGCTGCTTACCGTCCTGGTTGGAAGATACTCCACGAGCAAAGACTCCTTCAGCAGGTGCAGTTATTGGTGCCGTGATCCGTGTGTGACCCACAGACAGACGGATGGAGAATAGAAGAGCAAAAGCAGTGTGCCTGGTGCTTACCGTTCTGGTTGGAAGATACTCCACGAGCAGAGACTCCTTCAGCAGGTGCAGTTCTTGGTGCCGTGATCCGTGTGTGACCCACAGACAGACGGATGGAGAATAGAAGAGCAAAAGCAGTGCGTGCGTGCCTGGTGCTTACCGTTCTGGTTGGAAGATACTCCACGAGCAGAGACTCCTTCAGCAGGTGCAGTTGTTGGTGCCGTGATCCGTGTGTGGCCCACAGACAGATGGATGGAGAATAGAAGAGCGAAAGCAGTGCGTGCGTGCCTGCTGCTTACCGTTCTGGTTGGCAGATACTCCACGAGTAGAGACTCCTTCAGCAGGTCGTCCAGGTGACACAGCCTGAACGCGGAAAGGAGAAAGGGGATAAAGAGGGAAGGAGTGAGGGAAAGTAGAGATAGAGTAGAGTGAACGACGAAAGAGCAGCAAGAAATGAGCAAGTGAGGCAGGGGAGAGAAGCAGCAGCAGCAGCAGCAGCAGGCAACTCACTGTGCTTTGACAGTGCACTCCCTCTCCTCTGCTGCTGTCACCTCGCCTCGCAGACACACCACCTCCTCCACCAACGCCGCCACCACCTCCCCCTCCTCATCTCCTTCCTCTCCATCCTCCTCCCTTTCTCCCTCTTCTCCCTCCTCTCCCTCCTCCTCTCCCTTGCTGTGTCTTCTCCTCTCTTCCTTCTCTTCCAGAGCCTGTGCCCTCTCCCCCTCTTCCTCAGCCTCCTGCTGCCCCTCCTGCCTGCTTCCCCAACCAGCAAACCACCCGCCCACAGCCCCGGCCACCCCGCTCCCCTGCCTGCTTATCCGGGCGGCAAGAGACTGCACTGCCGCCGCCCGACCTTCCCCTGCCCCACCGGCGGTATTTGTCCTTTTCTGCAGGAGATCTGATATGATTGAGGCGCCAATGCTGCTGGTACGACGGTGGCGAAAGTTGTGGCTGGAGTGGGGGAAATGTGAAGGGTGGGAGGAAGAGTTGAGGGAGGAGGAGGAGAGAGGAGGGAGGGAGCAGAAGCTACTACCACTGGAGGTGCGTTGTATAAAGGTAGAGGAGGGAGAGGACCAGGGGGAATGGGAGGGCTGTGACGACCTGCAACTGAGAGCTGAAGGGGTGTTGGCAGTAGAGGAGGCGTCATAATGCCGGCTTTTAACTGAGTGTTGCTTGGGTAAGTGATGCAGGAGAACAGTGGGGTCGGAGCCGCACCGCACTGCACCCACTCCAACCCTGCTGTTTGCAGCAGCACCACCACCACTCAGCACCGCACTTCCACCAGCAGCAGCTGTGGCAGGCGCGGTAGATACTGAGAAGTCAACGGTTGAGAGCGGTGGAGGTGGGTGGTGTGGGGCAGGAGGGGCAGCGGCCTCGGCGGTAACCAGCTGGTGGAGGTGCGATTCGAAGAGGGTGTAATCGGCCAATCGCATGCGAGCAAGGGCCGGGTGGGAGTGTGTGATGCCGACAAGCGAGAGGCCGTCCACCTGATGCTGGTCGAAATCCCGTGCGTACTCTGGAGGAAAAAGGGAGGAAGAAGGGGGGGAAGAAAGGGGTGGGAGTGTGTGATGTGATGCCAACGAGTGAGAGACCGTCCACCTGGTGCTGGTCGAAGTCCCGTGCATATTCTGGGGGAGGGGAGGGAGGAAGAAGGGAGAGGGGGGAAAGAGGGGAGAGTGCATGAGTCTGGCAAGGGCCGGGTGGGAGTGTGTGATGCTGGCGAGTGAGAGGCCGTCCACCTGATGCTGGTCAAAGTCCCGTGCGTACTCTGGAGGGGAGTAGGAAGGGTGAGCGTAGGGGGGGGAGGAGGTGTTGTGGGATAGAGATGGGGAGAAAAAGGGGATTTCGTGCTCGTGCTCCCACTCTATCAGAAAACTCAGCGAGTCAGTGCGTGCATGCGTGTGTCTGCATGAGAGGGCGTGCAGTGGAATGCATGTGGTGCATGCATTCACTTCGACTCACCTCGCCCACTGCCATCTGGGAAGCCAACAGAGTGGATGAGCCACGAGCACACGTCACTCGTGCTCCACTCTATCAGACTGACTGGACCGCTCCACACTGTACTGCACTCCTGCAACCTCCCAGCACTAGCAGCAGAACCATCACCACCAGCAGCAGCGGCACGAGTAGCAGCAGTAACACGGTTACCAGCAGCACCAGCAGCAGAGGCACCAGCACCCAGGTCACGAGTGGCAGCAGTAGGAGCAGAGCCTGCAGAAGGCTGAGGGAAAGGGGCGGGTGCAGCAAATTGGGGAAGCGGTGGTGGGGCATCAAGGGCGGAGGTGGAATTAGGGAGGGACGCAGCAAAGTTACCGCTGCTGCCACAGTGATCCCGGAGGTTTGGCCTTCTCCTAGCCCATGTGCTCTTGCCACTGCCGCTGCCACCGCTGCCACAGTTGCTGCCACTGCCCCTGCCACTTGCGCTGCCACCACTCTGCACTGCATCCTTCTCTGCTACGTCCATGCCACCCATTCGTCTTTCACCATCACCTGCTTTGCCACCCATTCGTCCTTCGAGTACTGGAGCTGCCGGGACTGGTGGTACTGCTGCGACTGTAGGTCCTGGAGGTGCTTGTACTGCGGGTACTGGAGCTGCCGGGGCTGGAGGTGCTGGAGCTGCTGGAGGTGCTGGAGCCGCTGGTCCCGGAGGTGCTCGTACTGGAGGTACTGGAGCTGCTGGAGCTGGTGGTGCTGCAGGAGTTGGAGCTGGAGGCGCTGATGCTGTTGCTGCTGGAGGTGCTGCTGGAGCTGGAGCTGCTGGAGGTGCTGGAGCTGGTGGTGCTACAGGAGGTTGAGCTGGAGACCCTGGAGCTGGGGGTACTGGTGCTGTCTCTGCTGGTTCTAGAGGCGCTGCTCGGCCGCGGCCGTACTTCGTTCCACTCCTTCAGCAGGTTCTTGGTCTCCCGCCTTCTACTAGTCCTACTCCTCCCTTACTGTGTCCACCGCCTGACCAGTCGCAGTCGCAGTTACAGCCAGCCTCCCCATTGCCTGGTCCTTCTCCTTACACTGGGCCGACCGGAGGTCTTGCGGAGCGTCGTGAGCCTGAGTCTCGTCCTGCGTCGCCTGTTCGCGCTGTTCGCACTGGTCGTCGTGTTCCGCGTCCGCGTCCTCCTCCTGTCCCCGGCACACACCAGATGGCACTTCGTCCTTCCTCTGTTCCACAGCGTGTCCCTCTGCCGTCTCCTCCTGCGTCCTCTCTTCCTGACGTCCCTGACCCGCCGTCAGACCTTGCTCGTGCTGCCAGTCCTACTGTCACGCGTCTTCTCGCTACTGTTGTCACTGACCCTTCGTTTGAGTCCACTGCTGCGTCTGCCCTGGTCACTGAGCTTGTTGACTTTGCTGCCGCCTGTCGTCTAGACTACGCCACTTGTCTTGTTGCTGAGTCTGAGTCTGTCTGTCCTCCGTCCGTCGGGGGTGAGTGTGCTCTTGGCACGGACGTCCTTGAGGACAGACAGGAGGAGTTTGAGTGTTTTGCCACTGCTTTACCTCATCTCGTGTCCATGCTGCTTGCACCTGAGGGAGACCCGGATGCACCAGACATCCCGACCCCGCGCTCTTACGCAGAGGCGATAGAGGGTCCCTACTCCTCTCAGTGGCAGACAGCCATGGACGCAGAGATGGCTTCCTGGAAGTCCACAGGCACCTACGTCGACGAGGTTCCTCCACCTGGGGCGAACATCGTCAGTGGCATGTGGATTTTCAGGGTGAAGCGGCCGCCGGGTTCTCCGCCTGTCTTCAAGGCGCGTTACGTTGCACGAGGCTTCAGTCAGCGAGAGGGAGTTGACTTCTTCCAGACCTTCTCCCCTACCCCGAAGATGACCACTCTTCGGGTACTGCTGCACGTCGCCGCTCAGCGTGACTACGAGCTTCACTCTCTTGACTTCAGCACAGCCTTCCTACAGGGCAGCCTGCACGAGGAGATCTGGCTGCGCCGCCCACCTGGCTTCACTGGGTCGTTTCCTGCTGGTACCCAGTGGAGCCTCCGGCGGCCAGTCTACGGTCACCACCAGGCGCCCCGCTAGTGGCACGACACACTGAGGACGACGCTTGCGGCTCTTGGGTTTGCTCCTTCCACTGCTGACCCGTCGTTGTTTCTACGCACCGACACCTCTCTGCCGCCGTTCTACGTCCTCGTGTACGTCGACGACTTGGTCTTTGCTACTGCTGACACTGAGGGACACGCCCACGTGAAGTCGGAGCTGCAGAAGAGACACACGTGCACAGACCTGGGTGAGCTGCGCAACTATCTTGGCTTGCAGATCACCCGGGACAGAGCACAGCGCACCATTACCTTGACTCAGTCACACATGGTGCAGCAGGTCCTTCAGCGCTTCGGCTTCACGTACTCCTCGCCACAGCCCACTCCTCTGCCTACTCGCCACTCGCTCTCAACTCTGCCTTCGGATGAGTCCGTAGAGCCGAGTGGCCCGTATCCAGAGCTTGTGGGCTGCCTCATGTACCTGATGACCTGCACTCGACCTGACCTTGCCTGCCCTCTTAGCATCCTGGCACGCTATGTTGCTCCTGGGAGACACCGACCAGAGCACATGGATGCCGCTAAGAAGGTGTTGTGCTACTTGTGCAGTACGTCGGGCATGGGGCTCGTGCTTGGAGGACGGGCTCGATTTGTCCTCACTGGTCACGCAGACGCTTCCTGGGTTGACGACTTGGCTACGCAGCGGTCGTCACAGGGTTACACTTTCAGCCTTGGCTCCGGCTCTTTTTCGTGGCGGTCTACCCGCTCGTCTTCTGTTCTCAGTTCCAGTTGTGAGGCTGAGATCTACGCAGGGGCCATGGCTGCACAGGAGTTACGCTGGCTCACCTACCTGCTGACCGACCTGGGAGAGCCGCCTCGTTCTCCTCCAGTTCTGTACGTCGACAACAAGGCCATGATTGCCTTGTGTCAGGAGCACAGACTGGAGCACAGAACGAAGCACATCGCTCTGCGCTACTTCCTTGCTCGAGAGTTGTAGCAGCGTGGTCAGCTTCGTCTTGCTTACGTGGCCACTCAGGCCAACACTGCTGATATCTTCACCAAGGCACTTCAGCCTTGTGATCATCAGCGTTTCTATACTGTTCTAGGCCTTGTGCCCACCTGGCCTCACTTGCTCACTTCTTGACTTTCCTTGTACTGTGATCTCTATACATATACCTGCATGCTTAAACTTTCTAGGTTGTGATCACTGTATTGCTTGTTCTCCTTTATATAACTCTGCATGTGAACTGGCCTTGTGGCCATTTGCTTGTGCTCAGAATGCGTGGTGACTTCGTGATCCACCCTGAGCTTGCTTTGCTTTTCTTGACTGGTCTTGTGACCTCTTGTTCTCCCCCACTTTGCCTATGGGGGTGTGTCAAACTTATATGACATAGTCTGTTTAGGCTGTAATGGGGTAGACCAAGCCCCCCTCGTTCTATCTTTCACAACTTCCTATGTCCTCCTCAACTCCCAAGCCCGTCGTGCAGCTGGCGGCAAGCTTGCTCCAAAAACAATCACGTGCGTGTACCTCGGGCACAACTCGGACTCGCCAGACTACCTCTTCCTCCATCCTACCACCAACAAACTCTATCGCAGCCGAGATGTTTTCTTCGATGAATCCCACCCATTCTACCCCTCCTCCAAGGTTTCCCCTTCTCCTCCGCCTCCTTCTCTTACTTGGGCTGACTTTGACAGTCTTCCTCCTGCCACCACTCCATCTCCTCCTCTTCCCGCTCCCTCCACCGTTTCCGACCCCCCGTCACCCGCATCCCCCTCCAGCACCACGCAGTCTCCCCCGCTCCTTCCCGCCCCCGAGCCCATTCCTCTCAAAACCTACCAACGCCGTCCTCCTGCTGCTACTCCTGCTCCTGATCTAGCTCCTGCTCCTGATCCAACTGCTGTTCCTGATGCTGCCACTACACCTACTGCTTCTCCTCCTCCAGCTCCGCCTCCCTCCCCCATCACTGGTCGCACCCGCTCGCACAAAACTCCCAAGCCTCTTTCCCTTTCCATTCGTGTCTCTCTCAATCCTCCTCCTGTCGGGGGTGATTATTCGCTCATGCCCTCCCTTCTTGAGGACAGACATGAGGAGTTGATTGACATCGACTCAGCCATACACGCGCTCTGCTCCCTCTTTCCGGATATCGCAGACTCTCCCACCCTCAACTTCTCAGACAACCCCTCCATCCCCACACCTCTCACTTATGCTGAAGCAGTTTCAGGTCCTCACGCCGCCCAGTGGCTAGGGGCCATTGTCGCAGAATGTGAGGCCTTCATTCACACAGGAACCTTTACAGATGTCTCTCCTCCCTCTGGCGTCAACATCGTGAAGGGCAAATGGGTTTTCTGGGTCAAACAACTTCCAGGCGAATTTCCTGTCTTCAAAGCCCGGTACTGTGCCAAGGGATTTACCCAAAAGGAAGGACTTGACTTCTTTGCAACTTTCTCTCCCACCGCCAAACCTCCCACACTACGCACCCTTCTTGATGTTGCCGCTCGAGATGACATGGAGGTTGAGAGCATGGATGTGTCTTCTGCGTTTCTTCAAGGGGTCCTTCGAGAAGACATCTATATGGAGCGGCCCGAAGGATTTCCAGCCCCATTCCCACCAGACACTTTATGGAAGCTGAATCGGCCAGTGTATGGCCTCAAGCAAGCACCCCGGGAATGGCACAACAAGCTCAAGAGCACCTTAGGGTCTCTCGACTTCCACCCCTCCACCTCTGACCCCACCCTCTTCATCCGAGCAACCCCATCCCGCTTCTTCATCCTAGTTTATGTTGACGACATGATCCTTGTCACCAAGGATCAGGCCGAGTTGGCCATGAAGGATCTTGGGAAGCTGACGAACTATTTGGGCATGGAAATCACACGTGACCGCACGGCCCGCACCATCACCCTCTCACAGAAGTTTTACATCAACAACGTCCTGACGTGGTTCAAGATGCAGGATGCAACATCAATGCCTACCCAACTCTCTCTGCAGCACCAGCTTACTGCGCCCTCTGTTCCCTCACCTGAGCCCTGTGACGAGCCCTACCCCGAGCTCGTTGGATCCCTCATGTACGCGATGATGTGCACTCGGCCAGACTTGGCCTACCCAGTCAGTGTCCTGTCTCGCTACGTTGCACCTGGTGATATACTCGCCACCACTGTTCTGCCGCCAAGCGAGTCCTTCGCTATCTCAAAGGCACAGAGGACTATGTACTCACTCTTGGCGGCTCTTCCCCTATTCGTCTTGAGGGATACAGTGACTCCTCCTACGCTGATGACCAGAGTGATCGGCGCTCTTCTCAGGGGTATTGCTTTACCCTTGGCAGCGGGGTTGTGAGTTGGCGCGCCACTCGTTCGTCCTCCGTCTCACTGTCTACATGTGAGGCAGAGCTATATGCCGGGACCATGGCTACCCAGGAGGCCCGTTGCCTCTCCTTCTTGCTCGCCGAACTCGGGTATCCTCAACCAACCCCCACGCTTTGGTGTGACAACGAGAGCACCATACATCTCACCAAGGACCCAGTCTTCCACGGCCGCACCAAGCACATTGAGGTCCGCCATTACTTTCTTCGTGAGCTCGTGCAGCGCGAGCAGCTGAAGGCTGACCACATTGCCTCCGACTGCAACCTTGCTGACTTGTTCACCAAGTCACTTGTTCGCCAGGACCATTACCGCCTCCTCTCGGCCATGGGTGTTGGGCCTCCCTGTGGCTGATGTGTTACAGCCTAGGGGGTGTGTTAGAAATAGGCTGTCAACACATTGTGTACTCTATTTTATATGGTTTAAGGTTACTTTGTAGGTTGGGTGTAGATTTGTAATCCCAACCCTATCTGGTTGGGATTCCCTCGTAATCCTGCAAATCTGCCAACTCACCAATTGGAGATTTGCTAGGATTCCCATCCCATCCTTTCCCTAGCCTTGCTCAACCCAACCGTGTTTGTACTTAAGGCCTAGTGCAGGCCCCTAGATTCGTTTTGAGGCACTCTGATCGATCAGAGTACACCCCTCCTGGAACTCTGTCTGTCAGAGGTGCCTCAAAATTTAAGTCTGAAAATTCAGAGAAGCACAACTTTTTTTGTCTGAACTGTCAGAGTTACCTTCAAATGTTTAGATGATCATGCAGTTTCGTAAAAGCACAGTTATAATAGCATTGAAGCTGCATCAGACGAATCAAACCATCCAGTTTCAATGCTAGTCCCTGAAGCAAAGTTATCGAGACGAATCTTCCTCGAAGTTCCGATAAGTAACCCCCCACTTCCCCCCTCCCATGCGTAATCATTTCCCCACCCCGTGTGGCTGTCTTTTTGTTCGCGTGGGCACTGTGGCGCGCTGCTGTGATCGCACTCGCGTGGGCACTGTGGCGCACTGCTGTGAAATTGGGAAGCTCCTCCTGATTCGTAGTGAAGGTTTCATGCGGCACTGCCAAGTGCTCACACACGTTTCTGCCTGCTGCCAGCTCAGCTGCGTGGCACTTGGCCCACCCGGTTGTACGTGCCAACATCAGATCGGGTGAAAATGGGTGACAACTAGCACGATTTTTTGGCCGAAGTAATACACGCCGCCAGGCTGGCGGAAACCCCTGTACTACTGGTTTCAGAGTGCACCCCCGATACAAGTCTGAGGCTCAGCCTTCACTAATGAAATTAGGCTGAAATTTCAGACAACTCATAAAAACAAACCCTGAAAAAACAGACAAGGTACACAAAAAAAATCTTAGACTTCAGACTAGGTACACAAAAAAAGCCTGAACGGACTCTGAATCAGACTAAAAAGTCTGATATTTAGGGCACTGGCCTAGTGCCTTCTTTATCAATCAATCAGTTCAGCTCCAGTTCTATCAACAGGGCCTCTGCAAGTGCCAACTACGTTGTGATCAAGATACGAGTCAACAAAGTCCGGCCTGAAGGGGCTGTGCTCTTGGTCGACACCGTTTCGAATTGCCTTGCTGGCAAGTTTGAGGCATGATATGAAGGTAGTGCATGGGTGAACATCACACGTACCAGGGGTGATCGGCTCAAGGGTTACAGCTTCACTGCCTCGCAGGTTTTGGGCCCAAGCACGCCGGCCGAGGTTCGGATATTCATTGAGGCCTATACTCATCAATCATCAGGCACGCATATGGTTGCGTCTCATCCAGAAAATGACCATGCACTTTGCGGGAAGTTGAAAAAGAGACCCGTATAAGGATGACCATTTCACGTTCATGTTCGAAAATTGTATGGACTTCTGCAAGAAGTGATGCTCCAACATGGGATGGGACCCAGGGGCTAGGGTGTAGCTGATTGTGTTATCATGCACCATGGTTTGTATGATTCCGGAGCATACCCATGGTTACGGTTATGTTACCTTGGATTGAATGTGTGATATGGATTAAAGCAGATGATGAGAGGTGTTACCTTTAGCAAAATGCAGATACCGGTACCAGTGTATCCTGCCCTTGCCTCGATTGCAGCATATCACGAAGCATGATGTACGAAAAAAAATACCGTTTTGGTGATAATAAATACCGTATAAAGGCTGATATAGGGGCCAGCGTCCCACTCTGAGAAATCGTGTTATGAAACCAAACACTTTTTCTTATAAGGGTCTAAGGAAATAGAATTTTGAAAAAAAGGGTGCATAGCATAACCAAACCCAGCCTTATAATCAGTGTCGTAAGAGTAAATCACCCTGCTATCTTGAGGCCTGCTCCGACCCCTCCTCCCCCAGCCTCCCTCTCCCAGCCCCGCTCTCCCATTGTCCCTCTCCAATCCGCCCTACCTTACCTACCTTCACACTGGCACCCGCAGCTTCAGCGGGCAGTGCCGATGCCACAACTTCCAGAGAGTGCTTCCTTGCTCAAACTCGCGACCCCACTCGCTTTTTCTGGCATACTCTCTTGTGTGAATGATGCGGTCATAGAAAGCGAGGAACGTCAAGCTGTTCCGCTCCGCGCGTAGAGCGTCGATCTCGTCGGGGGTGAGGATCCAGCTAACATAGCGTAACATTTCAGCCGTGTCATTCTCCGTGGACTCAACGGTGAACAGCATGCGAGTTAAGGCAGACCAGCACGCAGCCTCTAGCTCCTCCATCCAACTGCTCTCCTCCCTTTCGGTCCCTTGGACACACACCCGGACCCGCCACCGCTTCTTACTCTTCAAGATACCCGGAAGGTTGACCACATTCTGCTGTGGACTCTGCTCCTTCTGCAGCTGGCGCAGTTTGGGGAGCAGCTGGTACGGCGGCAGCTGCTCCAGTTGCTGCTGCAGTCGCTCCTGCCGCTCCTGCTGCAGCTGCTGGTGGTGCTGCTGCTGCTGCTGGTGCTCGCTGTGCTGCTGCTGGTGCTCGCTGTGCTCGCTGTTGCTCGCTGTGCTCGCCGCTGCTGCTGCTGGCAGTGCTGCTGCTGCTGCTGGCAGTGCTGCTGCTGTTGCTGGCACTGCTGCTGCTGCTGCTGCTGCTGCTGCTGGCCACTGCCACTGCTGCTGCTGGTAGTGCTGCTGCTGCTGCTGTGCAGTTTTGGGTGCATGACGGCTCACTTTATCCGGCTCTGACTTCAACTTCCTAAGCTGCCTCGCAATCTCTCGCAACTCCTGTCGCCTTCTCGGCCTGGGGTTGGGCCGCCGTGCCGCCGTGGCGTGCCATGCAACTGGCTCCTCGTCTCCTGCCCGCCCCAATGACTCCTCGTTGACGGGCTTGTCTTCTGTGCCGCTGAGGAACGCTGCGGCTCCTCGTCCCACAGCCTCGAGCGCGCAAGCAACCTTGTCGGCCTCCATCAGGCCTCTCCAGCTGCGCTGCAGCGCGCAAGCAAGCTTGTCGCCCGATGGCTCCTCCTCCTTCTCCTCCTTCTCCCCTTCCTCCAACACCCCCCCATCCTCCCCCTCCAGCACCTGCCCTTCCTCCAACACCCCCCCCTCCTCCCACTCCAGCACCTCCCCTTCCTCCAACTGCCACCTTGCCGCTGCTGCTGCCGCCTCCTTTCCTCCTGATGCTGTTGCTGCAGCTCCAAATGCTGCCCCTGCTGCTGGTGCGGAGTGTGCTGCCCCATCCCCTTCCTCCACCCCCTCCTCCCACTCCAGCACCTCCCCTTCCTCCAACTGCCACCCTGCCGCTGCTGCTGCCACCTCCTTTCCTCCTGATGCTCTTGCTGCAGCTCCAAATGCTGCCCCTGCTGCTGGTGCGGAGTGTGCTTCTCCTTCTGCTGCAATTGCTACCTCTGCTACTGGTGCAGCGTGTGCTCCTTTTCCTCTTTCTGATTCTCTTTCTGCCCCCTCAATCGCATTCTCTCCCCCTCCGCTTGCTTCTCCATCCTCGTTTGCAGCTGCTGTACCCTCTGCTGTGCCCTGTGCTGCGGCCGCTGCTGCTGCTGGGGCAGGGGCTGGGGCTACTGCTGCTTCTGCTCCCTCCTCTGCCACGCGCCCTCTCTCCTCCTCCGATTTCTCTACCTTCCTCACCAGCTCATCCACTTGTCGCCGTGCCTCGTCTCTCTCCTCCCTCGCCCTCTTTCCCTCCTCTGCCACGCGCCCTTTCTCCTCCTCCGATTTCTCTACCTTCCTCACCAGCTCACCCACTTGTTGCCGTGCCTCATCTCTCTCCTCCCTCGCCCTCTTTCCCTCCTCTGCCACGAGCCCTTTCTCCTCCTCCGATTCCTCTACCTTCCTCACCAGCTCACCCACTTGTTGCCGTGCCTCATCTCTCTCCTCCCTCGCCCTCTTTCCCTCCTCTGCCACGAGCCCTTTCTCCTCCTCCGATTCCTCTACCTTCCTCACCAGCTCACCCACTTGTTGCCGTGCCTCATCTCTCTCCTCCCTCGCCCTCTTTCCCTCCTCTGCCACGAGCCCTTTCTCCTCCTCCGATTCCTCTACCTTCCTCACCAGCTCACCCACTTGTTGCCGTGCCTCATCTCTCTCCTCCCTCGCCCTCTTTCCCTCCTCCGCCACACGCCCTCTCTCCTCCTCCGATTCCTCTACCTTTCTCACCAGCTCACCCACTTGTTGCCGTGCCTCGTCTCTCTCCTCCCTCGCCCTCTTTCCCTCCTCCGCCACACGCCCTCTCTCCTCCTCCGATTCCTCTACCTTTCTTACCAGCTCATCCACTTGTCGCCGTGCCTCGTCTCTCTCCTCCCTCGCCCTCTTTCCCTCCTCTGCCACGAGCCCTTTCTCCTCCTCCGATTCCTCTACCTTCCTCACCAGCTCACCCACTTGTTGCCGTGCCTCATCTCTCTCCTCCCTCGCCCTCTTTCCCTCCTCCGCCACACGCCCTCTCTCCTCCTCCGATTCCTCTACCTTTCTCACCAGCTCACCCACTTGTTGCCGTGCCTCGTCTCTCTCCTACCTCGCCCTCTTTCCCTCCTCCGCCACACGCCCTCTCTCCTCCTCCGATTCCTCTACCTTTCTTACCAGCTCATCCACTTGTCGCCGTGCCTCGTCTCTCTCCTCCCTCGCCCTCTTTCCCTCCTCTGCCACGAGCCCTTTCTCCTCCTCCGATTCCTCTACCTTCCTCACCAGCTCACCCACTTGTTGCCGTGCCTCATCTCTCTCCTCCCTCGCCCTCTTTCCCTCCTCCGCCACACGCCCTCTCTCCTCCTCCGATTCCTCTACCTTCCTCACCAGCTCACCCACTTGTTGCCGTGCCTCATCTCTCTCCTCCCTCGCCCTCTTTCCCTCCTCTGCCACGAGCCCTTTCTCCTCCTCCGATTCCTCTACCTTCCTCACCAGCTCACCCACTTGTTGCCGTGCCTCATCTCTCTCCTCCCTCGCCCTCTTTCCCTCCTCCGCCACACGCCCTCTCTCCTCCTCCGATTCCTCTACCTTTCTCACCAGCTCACCCACTTGTTGCCGTGCCTCGTCTCTCTCCTCCCTCGCCCTCTTTCCCTCCTCCGCCACACGCCCTCTCTCCTCCTCCGATTCCTCTACCTTTCTTACCAGCTCATCCACTTGTCGCCGTGCCTCGTCTCTCTCCGCCCTCGCCCTCTTTCCCTCCTCTGCCACGAGCCCTTTCTCCTCCTCCGATTCCTCTACCTTCCTCACCAGCTCACCCACTTGTTGCCGTGCCTCATCTCTCTCCTCCCTCGCCCTCTTTCCCTCCTCCGCCACACGCCCTCTCTCCTCCTCCGATTCCTCTACCTTTCTCACCAGCTCACCCACTTGTTGCCGTGCCTCGTCTCTCTCCTCCCTCGCCCTCTTTCCCTCCTCCGCCACACGCCCTCTCTCCTCCTCCGATTCCTCTACCTTTCTTACCAGCTCATCCACTTGTCGCCGTGCCTCGTCTCTCTCCTCCCTCGCCCTCTTTCCCTCCTCTGCCACGAGCCCTTTCTCCTCCTCCGATTCCTCTACCTTCCTCACCAGCTCACCCACTTGTTGCCGTGCCTCATCTCTCTCCTCCCTCGCCCTCTTTCCCTCCTCCGCCACACGCCCTCTCTCCTCCTCCGATTCCTCTACCTTCCTCACCAGCTCACCCACTTGTTGCCGTGCCTCATCTCTCTCCTCCCTCGCCCTCTTTCCCTCCTCTGCCACGAGCCCTTTCTCCTCCTCCGATTCCTCTACCTTCCTCACCAGCTCACCCACTTGTTGCCGTGCCTCATCTCTCTCCTCCCTCGCCCTCTTTCCCTCCTCCGCCACACGCCCTCTCTCCTCCTCCGATTCCTCTACCTTTCTTACCAGCTCATCCACTTGTCGCCGTGCCTCGTCTCTCTCCTCCCTCGCCCTCTTTCCCTCCTCTGCCACGAGCCCTTTCTCCTCCTCCGATTCCTCTACCTTCCTCACCAGCTCACCCACTTGTTGCCGTGCCTCATCTCTCTCCTCCCTCGCCCTCTTTCCCTCCTCCGCCACACGCCCTCTCTCCTCCTCCGATTCCTCTACCTTTCTCACCAGGTCACCCACTTGTTGCCGTGCCTCGTCTCTCTCCTCCCTCGCCCTCTTTCCCTCCTCCGCCACACGCCCTCTCTCCTCCTCCGATTCCTCTACCTTTCTTACCAGCTCATCCACTTGTCGCCGTGCCTCGTCTCTCTCCTCCCTCGCCCTCTTTCCCTCCTCTGCCACGAGCCCTTTCTCCTCCTCCGATTCCTCTACCTTCCTCACCAGCTCACCCACTTGTTGCCGTGCCTCATCTCTCTCCTCCCTCGCCCTCTTTCCCTCCTCCGCCACACGCCCTCTCTCCTCCTCCGATTCCTCTACCTTTCTTACCAGCTCATCCACTTGTCGCCGTGCCTCGTCTCTCTCCTCCCTCGCCCTCTTTCCCTCCTCTGCCACGAGCCCTTTCTCCTCCTCCGATTCCTCTACCTTCCTCACCAGCTCACCCACTTGTTGCCGTGCCTCATCTCTCTCCTCCCTCGCCCTCTTTCCCTCCTCCGCCACACGCCCTCTCTCCTCCTCCGATTCCTCTACCTTCCTCACCAGCTCACCCACTTGTTGCCGTGCCTCATCTCTCTCCTCCCTCGCCCTCTTTCCCTCCTCTGCCACGAGCCCTTTCTCCTCCTCCGATTCCTCTACCTTCCTCACCAGCTCACCCACTTGTTGCCGTGCCTCATCTCTCTCCTCCCTCGCCCTCTTTCCCTCCTCCGCCACACGCCCTCTCTCCTCCTCCGATTCCTCTACCTTTCTTACCAGCTCATCCACTTGTCGCCGTGCCTCGTCTCTCTCCTCCCTCGCCCTCTTTCCCTCCTCTGCCACGAGCCCTTTCTCCTCCTCCGATTCCTCTACCTTCCTCACCAGCTCACCCACTTGTTGCCGTGCCTCATCTCTCTCCTCCCTCGCCCTCTTTCCCTCCTCCGCCACACGCCCTCTCTCCTCCTCCGATTCCTCTACCTTCCTCACCAGCTCACCCACTTGTTGCCGTGCCTCATCTCTCTCCTCCCTCGCCCTCTTTCCCTCCTCTGCCACGAGCCCTTTCTCCTCCTCCGATTCCTCTACCTTCCTCACCAGCTCACCCACTTGTTGCCGTGCCTCATCTCTCTCCTCCCTCGCCCTCTTTCCCTCCTCCGCCACACGCCCTCTCTCCTCCTCCGATTCCTCTACCTTTCTCACCAGCTCACCCACTTGTTGCCGTGCCTCGTCTCTCTCCTCCCTCGCCCTCTTTCCCTCCTCCGCCACACGCCCTCTCTCCTCCTCCGATTCCTCTACCTTTCTTACCAGCTCATCCACTTGTCGCCGTGCCTCGTCTCTCTCCTCCCTCGCCCTCTTTCCCTCCTCTGCCACGAGCCCTTTCTCCTCCTCCGATTCCTCTACCTTCCTCACCAGCTCACCCACTTGTTGCCGTGCCTCATCTCTCTCCTCCCTCGCCCTCTTTCCCTCCTCCGCCACACGCCCTCTCTCCTCCTCCGATTCCTCTACCTTTCTCACCAGCTCACCCACTTGTTGCCGTGCCTCGTCTCTCTCCTCCCTCGCCCTCTTTCCCTCCTCCGCCACACGCCCTCTCTCCTCCTCCGATTCCTCTACCTTTCTTACCAGCTCATCCACTTGTCGCCGTGCCTCGTCTCTCTCCTCCCTCGCCCTCTTTCCCTCCTCTGCCACGAGCCCTTTCTCCTCCTCCGATTCCTCTACCTTCCTCACCAGCTCACCCACTTGTTGCTGTGCCTCATCTCTCTCCTCCCTCGCCCTCTTTCCCTCCTCCGCCACACGCCCTCTCTCCTCCTCCGATTCCTCTACCTTTCTTACCAGCTCATCCACTTGTCGCCGTGCCTCGTCTCTCTCCTCCCTCGCCCTCTTTCCCTCCTCTGCCACGAGCCCTTTCTCCTCCTCCGATTCCTCTACCTTCCTCACCAGCTCACCCACTTGTTGCCGTGCCTCATCTCTCTCCTCCCTCGCCCTCTTTCCCTCCTCCGCCACACGCCCTCTCTCCTCCTCCGATTCCTCTACCTTCCTCACCAGCTCACCCACTTGTTGCCGTGCCTCATCTCTCTCCTCCCTCGCCCTCTTTCCCTCCTCTGCCACGAGCCCTTTCTCCTCCTCCGATTCCTCTACCTTCCTCACCAGCTCACCCACTTGTTGCCGTGCCTCATCTCTCTCCTCCCTCGCCCTCTTTCCCTCCTCCGCCACACGCCCTCTCTCCTCCTCCGATTCCTCTACCTTTCTCACCAGCTCACCCACTTGTTGCCGTGCCTCGTCTCTCTCCTCCCTCGCCCTCTTTCCCTCCTCCGCCACACGCCCTCTCTCCTCCTCCGATTCCTCTACCTTTCTTACCAGCTCATCCACTTGTCGCCGTGCCTCGTCTCTCTCCTCCCTCGCCCTCTTTCCCTCCTCTGCCACGAGCCCTTTCTCCTCCTCCGATTCCTCTACCTTCCTCACCAGCTCACCCACTTGTTGCCGTGCCTCATCTCTCTCCTCCCTCGCCCTCTTTCCCTCCTCTGCCAAGAGCCCTTTCTCCTCCTCCGATTCCTCTACCTTCCTCACCAGCTCACCCACTTGTTGCCGTGCCTCATCTCTCTCCTCCCTCGCCCTCTTTCCCTCCTCCGCCACACGCCCTCTCTCCTCCTCCGATTCCTCTACCTTTCTCACCAGCTCACCCACTTGTTGCCGTGCCTCGTCTCTCTCCTCCCTCGCCCTCTTTCCCTCCTCCGCCACACGCCCTCTCTCCTCCTCCGATTCCTCTACCTTTCTTACCAGCTCATCCACTTGTCGCCGTGCCTCGTCTCTCTCCTCCCTCGCCCTCTTTCCCTCCTCTGCCACGAGCCCTTTCTCCTCCTCCGATTCCTCTACCTTCCTCACCAGCTCACCCACTTGTTGCCGTGCCTCATCTCTCTCCTCCCTCGCCCTCTTTCCCTCCTCTGCCACGAGCCCTTTCTCCTCCTCCGATTCCTCTACCTTCCTCACCAGCTCACCCACTTGTTGCCGTGCCTCATCTCTCTCCTCCCTCGCCGTCTTTCCCTCCTCCGCCACACGCCCTCTCTCCTCCTCCGATTCCTCTACCTTTCTCACCAGCTCACCCACTTGTTGCCGTGCCTCGTCTCTCTCCTCCCTCGCCCTCTTTCCCTCCTCCGCCACACGCCCTCTCTCCTCCTCCGATTCCTCTACCTTTCTTACCAGCTCATCCACTTGTCGCCGTGCCTCGTCTCTCTCCTCCCTCGCCCTCTTTCCCTCCTCTGCCACGAGCCCTTTCTCCTCCTCCGATTCCTCTACCTTCCTCACCAGCTCACCCACTTGTTGCCGTGCCTCATCTCTCTCCTCCCTCGCCCTCTTTCCCTCCTCCGCCACACGCCCTCTCTCCTCCTCCGATTCCTCTACCTTTCTTACCAGCTCACCCATTTGTCGCCGTGCCTCATCTCTCTGCTCCATAACCCTCTTTCCCTCCTCCTCCTGTCCCGTCTCTCTCTCTCGCGCTCTCTCCCCCGCCGCTGCCGCTTCTTCCTTTGCCTCTTGCACCTTCCTTGCCGCTTCTTCTTGCGCCTCTTGCACCTTCCTTGCTGCTTCTTCCTGCAACAATTCATACCCTTCCGCCCTCTTTTCCGCCTTTCGCACCATCTCCTCCAATTCCTCTACCTTCCTCAGCCGCTCATTCGCCAATTGCAGTGCCTCATCCCTCTCCTCCATAGCCCTCTTCACCGCCTCGTCCTGCCCTGCCACTCTCTCTCGCTCTGCTGCCGCAGCCTTGCCCCTCATGGGAAGGGGAGCTTCAAGCCCCTTGGCGCCGGAAAACACCGCCTCAAGATTCCTGTTGATTCCGCTCTCCTGGTGGGGCGGCGAGACGGAAAAGGGAGGGAGGGCAGGGAGGGGAGGGATGGAGGGGAGGGAAGGCAGGGAGGGGATGGAGGGAAGCGGAGGGGGGGCAGGGAGGGGAGGGAGGGAAGCGGAGGGGGGGCAGAGAGGGGAGGAAGGGAAGCGGAGGGGGGGCAGAGAGGGGAGGAAGGGAAGCGGAGGGGGGGCAGGGAGGGGAGGGAGGGAAGCGGAGGGGGGGCAGAGAGGGGAGGAAGGGAAGCGGAGGGGGGGCAGGGAGGGGAGGGAGGGAAGCGGAGGGGGGGCAGGGAGGGGAGGGAGGGAAGCGGAGGGGGGGCAGGGAGGGGAGGGAGGGAAGCGGAGGGGGGGCAGGGAGGGGAGGGAGGGAAGCGGAGGGGGGGCAGGGAGGGGAGGGAGGGAAGCGGAGGGGGGGCAGGGAGGGGAGGGAGGGAAGCGGAGGGGGGGCAGGGAGGGGAGGAAGGGAAGCGGAGGGGGGGCAGGGAGGGGAGGGAGGGAAGCGGAGGGGGGGCAGGGAGGGGAGGGAGGGAAGCGGAGGGGGGGCAGGGAGGGGAGGGAGGGAAGTTGAGGGGGGGCAGGGAGGGGAGGGAGGGAAGCGGAGGGGGGGCAGGGAGGGGAGGGAGGGAAGCGGAGGGGGGGCAGGGAGGGGAGGGAGGGAAGCGGAGGGGGGGCAGGGAGGGGAGGGAGGGAAGCGGAGGGGGGGCAGGGAGGGGAGGGAGGGAAGCGGAGGGGGGGCAGAGAGGGGAGGAAGGGAAGCGGAGGGGGGGCAGAGAGGGGAGGAAGGGAAGCGGAGGGGGGGCAGGGAGGGGAGGGAGGGAAGCGGAGGGGGGGCAGAGAGGGGAGGAAGGGAAGCGGAGGGGGGGCAGAGAGGGGAGGGAGGGAAGCGGAGGGGGGGCAGGGAGGGGAGGGAGGGAAGCGGAGGGGGGGCAGGGAGGGGAGGGAGGGAAGCGGAGGGGGGGCAGAGAGGGGAGGAAGGGAAGCGGAGGGGGGGCAGAGAGGGGAGGAAGGGAAGCGGAGGGGGGGCAGAGAGGGGAGGAAGGGAAGCGGAGGGGGGGCAGGGAGGGGAGGGAGGGAAGCGGAGGGGGGGCAGGGAGGGGAGGGAGGGAAGCGGAGGGGGGGCAGGGAGGGGAGGGAGGGAAGCGGAGGGGGGGCAGGGAGGGGAGGGAGGGAAGCGGAGGGGGGGCAGGGAGGGGAGGGAGGGAAGCGGAGGGGGGGCAGAGAGGGGAGGAAGGGAAGCGGAGGGGGGGCAGAGAGGGGAGGAAGGGAAGCGGAGGGGGGGCAGGGAGGGGAGGGAGGGAAGCGGAGGGGGGGCAGAGAGGGGAGGAAGGGAAGCGGAGGGGGGGCAGAGAGGGGAGGAAGGGAAGCGGAGGGGGGGCAGAGAGGGGAGGAAGGGAAGCGGAGGGGGGGCAGAGAGGGGAGGAAGGGAAGCGGAGGGGGGGCAGGGAGGGGAGGGAGGGAAGCGGAGGGGGGGGCAGAGAGGGGAGGGAGGGTGCAAAGTCTTGCTGAGTTCTCTCCGCTTACTGCAAGTTTTTGCACCTTTCACATAGTAGAAGGACAGGGGATGCTAAAAGGAGATGCGTGAGATATGGCGTGAGAGGTGGCATGAGGGGTGGTATGAGATGAGAGGCATATACTGAAGCAGTGCACTCACCTGATCCATCACACTCACCACATCACTCGTCACAGCATTCAACCCACTTACCTCCTGCTGCTCCTCCTCCCCCTCCACCTCCTCCTCCTCCCCATCCACCTCCTCCTCCTCCCCTTCCACCTCTTCCTCCTTCCCTTCCCCCTCCTCCATTGTCGCTAACCCCTCTCCCAGGCTCAGATAGGCTCCGCAGGTGCAGAGCTCATGCATAAGCTCACATATGCGGTGAATATTGTCCTGTGAGGTTGGAAAGAGGGAGGAAGGAAGAAGGAGGCGGGAGCGGGAGGAACGACAGAGGAAGGGTAGGTAGGAGGGAGGTAAGTGAAGGGGACGGAGGCAAGCGAGCACTGGAGTAGGGACTTGCTCCAATGCTGATTGCTGATTGCTGTCATGGCGAGAGGGGAGGGGAGTGGAGCGGGATAGAGGATACAATGTGGGCAGAGCCACAGAACGTGGAGAGAAGGAGCGGCAGCGTCTATTATGAAGGGAAGGAGGGCAGCAGGGCAGGGAGCATGGTACCCTTAGTTGGGAACAGAAACCGCCCTCTGAAGGGAAAGCCCACTGTGGAGATTTGACACGTCAGTGAGCGGTTACTGTGAGGAGCAGGGCACTGTATCAGGGCAGGGAAAATCGCACCTTGAGCCGCGCGTTTTCCTTCTGCAGGGCGCCCTGCTGACCCATCGCGGCCTCGTTCACCACTGCCTTGTTGCGCACCTCCCTCGCCCCTACTGCGAACCTGAGCGTGCTGAGCGACTCGTGGTGCCACCTGCGGGTGGGGGAGAGACAGAAGACACATGAGATAGTCCATTAGATAATCTCTTGGAGGTGAGTCAGCTCAACGCGGAAGAGTCACAAGAAATGGGATAATGCAGCTTTCGGACATCTCAGCACTTACTCTGCAGCTCTCAGCACTTACTCTGCAGCTCTCAGCACTTACTCTGCAGCTCTCAGCACTTACTCTGCAGCTCTCAGCACTTACTCTGCAGCTCTCAGCACTTACTCTGCAGCTCTCAGCACTTACTCTGCAGCTCTCAGCACTTACTCTGCAGCTCTCAGCACTTACTCTGCAGCTCTCAGCACTTACTCTGCAGCTCTCAGCACTTACTCTGCAGCTCTCAGCACTTACTCTGCAGCTCCCAGCACTTACTCTGCAGCCGGGCTGATGCACGCAATCATATTAGTCCTCGAGTTTCCGCCAAGGGAGTCCTGCATTCGAGATGAAATGTTGGTGAATAGAAGGACAGAGGTGCCATGAAGGGGAGTGAGGGACCGGCTGTTTGTGCACAGAGTCATAATAAAAGCAGGGAAGCCATGAGATATAATTAGCAACTTGGATGAGGAAGGGTGTTCACCTAGAGGATCAAGGCTGCTCAGCTGGAGGAGCAAAGCATCCACTGGAGGAAGAAGACGAGGCAGGAACCTTTGTTTGTTTCTAAAATGCTAGAAAATAAACGGATGTCACGCGGTTATTTCACCTGCAAGAGCAAAGGCGTTCACTTGGAGGAGCAAGGGCGTTCACCTGGAGGAGGTGGGTGAGCTTAGAATCTCGGTACGGCACGTGCGACGCCGCCTGCTGCAGCTTCAGCATCACCCGTCTGGTGACCAGCACATGAACAACACGGAACAGAGAAGGCACCCAAGTTGCATGACAACAGTGACAGGACATTGGACAGTAAGAACAGCTGAGGCAATATAGCTGACCATAGTTAGTCTTTTTGTTTGTGGGGCACTCAATAAGCATGCACAGCAAACATAGCGAGGGAGAGAACTGACAAAACCGAGCTGGGATGAGAAGAAGTACAGCGCTGGTTGGTGCACTTTGGGCTCTTGGACCTCAGGAAAGTGTGAGAAAGAAAAGTGAGTGCAGCACGGACAGCATACACAGGCAAGGGAGAGAGAGGGGGCAAACCCGAGGTGGGAGTGGGACTTGTTAATGAAGTTCGCCTCAGTGCGCCGTTGTCCCACGGCCCCTGTCGAGTCCAACCTGCCAGGGGTGGAGAATGGTGGACAGGGTGAAGTGCAGGAGAGTGTGGGCAGGATAGGTAGCAGATAATTCCTCGGTGGTCCCTGACTGCGTGCGACAGGTGGAGAGGGGTGATGAGGGGTTCAATAGGGGTGGAGAGCAGTAGTGGGGCTGGACGGGGACAGTATGTGGGTGGTATGTGGTACAAGTACGGAGCATGATCAGCGTTGCATGCGCACTCCAGGCGGCCGGTACACTACAAAACTAATTATCGAAAGTGCGAGGTCAAGAGGTGGTAAGAGGTGACACTGGCACGTCAGGCGTGCCTTTCAGTGCAATCAGGCGTGACAAGCGAGCGGGGTACCTTTCGGAGCCTGCGAGGTCAACAAGGTTGAGCAGACTGAAGCGCTGCATGTCGTTGCCGCTGGCGATCCACTGCAGCGCGAGACACGGGCAAGTGAGTAGAGCAAGTGAGAAAAGCGAGTAGACCAAGTGAGAGAAGCAAGTGAGAGACGCAAGTGAGAGGAGCAAGTGAGAGAAGCAAGTGAGAGAAGCAAGTGAGAGAAGCAAGTGAGAGAAGCAAGTGGCGTACACGCCGTGCCACCACTTACCGTGCTCTCAATCTTGCATATGAAAACACAGTGAGAGCGACTGCTATCTCTGTTCATGTTCGTCACCGCCGTTTGCCGGTTCTTCGCTCCCTGCACACGCTTGCAACAATGCGAATACCCTTAGTGTTGTGCAATAACGCAACAATGCGCGCATCACATACACGGCTTACCCTGCGTGTGTCACCACAATCCTTCAATCCCCAATTCTCCCAAACACTAACGGTTTACAATTGTAATCTCTTTCTCAGTTGTTCCTGCCTCACCTATTTAAACACTTTTGAGAATTCTCAGAAGTGACTCCCAAACACCCCATGATGCATCCACGACTCTGCAAAGAAAAAGCAGAGTGCAAACTCAACTCACAAGCAGGATCTGCCCCATGACTTGAGAGAGGCAGGTGACCTCCTTTTGAGGCGCCTCAGAAGTTAAGGCAGCTCACCTGCTTGATAAGCAGCATGACTTGAGAAGAGCTGGTGACCTTCTCCTTGTGGAGGTTGCTCACATACACACCCTTGCCGCCCTCTTGTGTGCTAGTCCCTGAAATGTGAGGACGAGGTAGCGAGGGGCGGGGAAGCAATGCACGTCAAAGTTCACGCGAATCACGCACATCAGGCGTGACATGAACGGGAAACTTGTGGTGCATGGACGAGCCCAGCCAGCGAATCAGGCCACACTGGGGTCCTCCTGACAGACACAAGCATGAGGAAACACCGTCTGCCAAGGCCAGCACGAGCACACCACATTTGCAGCACTCACATGCAGGTCCCAGCACTCACATGCAAGCTGCACCACTCACATGCAAGCTGCACCACTCACATGCAAGCTGCACCACTCACACTTAAGTTGGTACTGTTGGGATCGAGCAGGTCCCTGAGGGTCTCGTTGTAAATCTCCAGAAACGAGCACACGCATGTGAACTCCGGGTGCTCACTCGGCCTCTGCTTCTTCTCCTGTCAGGGGGAAGTGGGAAGGAGGGGCGGACAGAGAGGCATAAAAAACATGCCCCCGTTTGGAAGCAGAACAACAGCACAATGCAAGTAGCACACAGCAGACAGCAGGACGCAGGCAGGCAGCGGGAGACATACATGTTCCATCAGGGTGAAAAGCAGGTGGAACACACGCAGGATGATTCCCCATTCTTGCCCCAACTCATCTTCATCCTTCCCCACGCCATCTCCGAACATTGTATAAGTCTTTCCGCTGCCAGTCTGGAATTCCATCAGGTAGAGAGAGTGCGGGAAACAAAGGGAGGAGAGCATTAAGAAGGAGGCTTTCAGGGATGAGGTAAGTGGCAAGAGGATGGAAGGGTGGAGCAATACAAATCCGGCGACAAGCAAGATTGCAGGCAGCTGATAATGGACGAGCCTGGCCAGCCTGAACCCTTAAGCCCATATAAGTCGAACCTGGCCGTATAGGACGCACCTGACCATATAGGACGAACCTGGCCATAGGCGAAGAGGGTGCTGTTGTAGCCGGCGAGGCAGTTTTCCACCATGGGCCGCCCTGCCAGCTCAAACATCTCCTCCTGACGGGGGGAAGGGGAAGGGGAGGAGTGGGGGATAAGGGGGGCGGGGAAAATGGGAGGAGTGAGGTGAGGGGGGTGCGGGAGAAAGGGAGGAGCGAGGTGAGGGGTGGCTCTGAGGCCCCTCAAAGGGCTGTGTGCACAAGCAAGTGCTCCCACCGGAGAAGAAAGAAGGGTGAGAGGTGGTGGGTGATAAAAGAAGGGCGGGAAGGGAATACTGGGTTCACGCGGGCCGCCTTTCCAGCTCAAACCTTTCCTGCTGGGGAAAAGGGAGGGGCGGGAAAGAGGAGGAGTGAGGGGGTGACGGGGGGGGATGAGCAAAGCGAAAATCTGGGATCCCCACGAGTACCTGTGACGCCCTTACCCCTCCAGTCTCACCCCCCCCTTTCTCCCCCACCTCCTTCAAAAGCTACAAGAGCGCCCGTCCCCATGCGTACCTGTGACAGCTTTATCCCCACCCTCCTCAATTCAATAGCCCCAGGAGCGTCCGTCCCCGTGCATGCATACCTGCGATGCGCCCTCCCCCGCCACGTGGTCAAGCTCAAAGAGCTCGCGCGTGCCTTCCCTGTCCGCAGCGCCTGCCCTGCCCGCCACGCCTGGATTGTCCGGTTTCACGAGCATGAGCGAGGTGGGCTGGACCTCCCCTCACGCACTGCGCCCCTGAGGCCCCTGCCAGCTCAGGGCCTCGCACCCTCACGATCACCTGGCGGAGAGCGGTGGGGGGGGTGAGAAATATTGGAGGCGGGGGGAGGAAGAGATGGAGAGGAGAAGAAGGAAGCATTGCAGCGAATGGAACACTTGTTTCCTGAGCACAGGCACAGGCACTACTGGAGCACTACTTCTTGCCTGGCACAGGCACTACGGGAGTGGGCTGACATCCTGCTGGCACGGTTGGGGGGAACAAGAAGAAATGGAGTCGGGGAGGGTAGGAAAAGCGAGTGCACAGAAACGGTGGAGCCTCCTTTCTGCCCTACATACACATTCGTACAAGCAATTTTCTCAACGGTTTTTGAAGCGAAACACACGCACACACACACATGCACGCACGCACGCACACACGCACACACGCACGCACACACATGTACACACACACGCATACACAGGCACACACATGCACTCACACACACACACACACACACACACACAAACACAATCTTCCTCACACACTCACACACACAAACACACACACACACACACAAACACAATCTTCCTCACACACACACACACACACAAACACAATCTTCCTCACACACTCACACACACAAACACACACACACATACACACACACACACACACACACACACACAAACACAATCTTCCTCACACACACACACACAAACACAATCTTCCCCACACACACACACACACACAAACACTCACACACACACACACACACACACACACACGGACACGCACACACACACACACACACACACACACACACACACACACAAACACAATATTCCTCACACACACACACAATCTTCCTCGGCGTCCTCGCACCTCGATATGTGAGTCGTCTGAAATGGGACTCGTCCTTCTGAGGCGTCTCAAAACTTGCAATTGGATATGGGAATCGACTGAGCTGAGACGTGTCCTAGTGGGATGGGGCCACTCGGAGTCTACTTCTGAGCGACGCCTCAAAACTCGCACCTAGATCTGTGAGTGGCTCCACTTGGCCCCACCAGGACGCGTCTTGACCCCTCGCACCTGGATCTGTGAGTCGTCTGAGATGGGACGTCTGATAGGGGCCTTCCGAGTCTTGGCCACTGTCGTGCGGTCTGCGGGGAGGGATGGGGAAGAGGGGGGAGGGTTATGAAAGGGAGGAAGGCGAATCAGGAAGGACTTACGTCGATCATGAAGGTAGCTAGAGCAAACGCGAATATGAAACACGGCGAGAGCGAAATTGTCACTACACACAAGCATCCGGAGTCGTACACACGCATCAGGGGGACGACTCATTGCTCACGTGACGGCTGCGGTGTTGTCAGCGCGTTGGCCGTCAGCAGCGCAAGTGCTGCTCTCTTCGTGCCTCCCTGCGACGACGACGCCCCGCCGTGCTGTGAAGCCCCGGATGGCAGCAGTGTGGGTCGACTGGCGGAATCCGCCCTGCTGGATCCGCCTTGCCGGGTGCGCCTTCCTGCAGGTCTGTGTCGGCCTGCAGGTGCGGCCGGCGGAGCCGCCTTCTCCTCCATTCTGAACCTGCGAGGGAAGCATCGAGCCGGGATGCACGAAGTGGATGTTGGATGAGGTATGGTGAAAGTGGTATGGTGAAAGTGGTAGGGTGAATGAGGCAGCATGAAGGAGGTAGGGTGGTTGAGACAATGAGAATGATCTAGCGAGAGTGGTTGGGCTTTGGCGGGGTTGGAAAAGGATCTCACAGCTTTGTGGATGCGGCCTTGGAAGGGGCCAGCCTCTGCTTCGCAGCTCTGCTGTGGCGATTGCTTCGCTAACTCCGATATCTGCCATGAGCAGAGGGGCAATGTGGTGGGTAATGTGAATGAGGTATTGCGAATGAGGTGTTGCAAATGCGGCAGAGCGAATGCGGCAACACGGTTGTTGTATGGCGGGTAGGGCGAATCAGTCTGGCCGAATGAGGCAGGTCGATTGAGGTAGGGATACGGAGATAACGCGCGGGGGTCCGGGATTGATGGGCATGCGGGACGGCAGGGAAGGCGGACCCCTTTCGCATTTGGGCGGCATGTCACGACGCGGCTACTCGCTATGTACAGCAGTTCAAAACTCTGCCCTTAGCCGGCATGTCCCCTTTCGAATTTGACCTTTCGCATTGGCCTGGCTTGTCACAACGCGGTCAAATTGGGGCACAATCTTCACCTCCCATTCCTTTTGCACGTCCCCTCTTCCTCTATACAGCGAAGACCTCGTTGCAGGTTGTCGCGGGCTGCCGCGCTGCGAGCGGCGTGGCTTAGATTGTCCAGGATGCGTAAGATACGACTTGTGCATTTCGTTAATACTTTCCTTACGTCACCCCTGACGCCTCTGTTTTCCGGCAACGAGACTAGACGTAATTCTTCTACTAGAAGTCGACTAGCAAGAAATTAGTCGACTCAAAAATAAATATCGGTTGAAACGACCATGGTCATAGACGTACCTTTGGAATCCGCGTGAGATTCCCGAGAGGAGTGCGTGATCTGTCTGCCAGTGTCAGAGGCGAGCGGGAATATCCTGCGTGAATCAAAGGTACTACCTGTCCGACAAGGCCACGAAATCCAAAGCTGTTACAATCCCAAGTGGGACTTAGCGAAGGATCGCTCAGGTCAGAGTGAATTTAAATGACTGAGATTGATAATAGCATGCATACATCTAGTTTATATAGGAAATACAGAGGAATACGAAACGACATAGACTAGCCATGTACTCTAAGGGGTACATTCCTTTATTACAGCGAAGTTCAAACCGTGCGGCGCGGGAACCCGTTTCAAACCTGTTCCCGCTCTTTTTACTTCGAATGTTTCTGCCTGCATCGGTCTTGATCAGACGGTTACCAGTGTCGCTTCGACTCTTCTGACTCCTCGGCTTCATACACTTTAGAGTCGGCCCCTGTAGCATACAGGAATGCCTTCTCATAAAGTTTCATATCGCAACACTCCCCTTCATTCCTGGGCGCGCAGGGGGCTGACTCGCTTGACCACTCCGGTGAGGTCGGAACAGTGCTTGTACTGCTGACGTGGCAGTCGCTTGGTGAGAAAGTCGGCTGCCATCTCGGTGGTAGGGCAGTACGTGAGATCAACCTTGCCATGGTCAATTTCGTCCTTGACGAAAAAGTACCGAAGCGCGATGTGCTTCGTGCGGTTCACGAACCCTGGCTTGTTCGCAATCTTGATGGCACTCTGGTTGTCGCAGTGAAGGCGAAAGGTGGGCGAAGATGGAATTTTCGCCTCCTGCAGGTACAGACCTTGGCGAACTGCTGCTGTCGCGGCGATGTATTCTGCTTCGGCTGATGACAGGGCAACCAGCTCCTGCTTCTGTGAGTTCCAGGAGATTGGTCCTGTTGGTTCCAGGCGGAAAACAAAGCCGGTTCGGGACCGTCGATTTGCAGGATCAGCGGCATGATCTGCATCTACGTAGCCGTTGAGGTTGAAGGAGGTCGTCGTCAGCGTGGAGTAGGAGAGCCTTATGTCAGGTGTGGAAATGAAGTACTGCAGGGCGCGCTCCAGATCCAGCTGGTTCTCTGCTACTGGCTTGCGAGAGTACTGTGCCAGTTGGCTGGCGATGTACGAAAGGTCGGGTCGGCAGGTGACAGAGGCGAACAGCAGGCACCCCAATTTTTGCTGGTACATTTGGAGTCCTGCGGGTGACAGAGGTTTGTTGTCCGGTTTGTTGTTGGCGCTGGGGTTGCGGTAAGGGGTTGAGAGTGGTGCGGGTGACATGTTGAAGCGTTCCCCCAGCTGCTCTGCGTACTTGGAGGCTGACAGGTGAATTGCTTCTGGCGCGTAGGTGATGTTTAACCCCAGGAACTGTGTGACGTTGTGGTTGATGGTGATGTCAACGTGCTGCGCCAGGTTCTCTTCGAACTGATTAAGGAGCTTGTTGCAGGTGTCGGTGTACAGCAGGTCGTCGACGTAGACTGTCAGAAGGATGTAGTCGCCGTTAAAGTGAAGGCAGTACATTCCCGGGTCGTGCGGCAGCTGTCTGAAGCCGATCTCCAGGAGGATTTTGTGCAGATGCTGCTGCCAGAGACGCGGCGCTTGCTTTATCCCGTAGAGGGATTTCTTCAGCTGGCAGACCCTGGGGTCTCCTTCCCCGTAGGTGTGTGGCTGTTCCACGAAGATGGTTGCATCCACCAACGCGTATAAGAACGCATTCTTCACGTCGATCTGCCGCAGTGGTAGGTGCTTAGCAGCGGCAATGGCGAGTAGAATTCTGACGGAGGTGTGACGACTGACGGGAGCAAAGGTTTGATCAAAGTCGATGCTGTGGCGCTGGTCGTACCCGCGTACGACCCAGCGTGCCTTGAAGCGCTCGATAGTGCCGTCGGCGTTGGTTTTGAGACGGAATACCCATTTTCCGCTTAGCACCCTCCTCCCCTTCACTGCTGCATGATCGACCAGGACCCATGTTTCGCGTGATTCTAGTGCCTTTAGCTCCGCGTCCATGGCAGCATGCCACTCCTTGGCGTGAGGACCGGTTAGAGCCTGTCGAGGGTTCTTGGGTTCGACGGCGCGCGTGAGGGTAGTGACAGACGTGTGTAGGCCGAGAAGCTGCAGGACGGACACATTGGTGGTGTCGCCGGTGGTGACCTCCACCACATCGTCATCGTCACTCTCATGGGCAGTTGCGGTAGTGCTGGGCTCGGGTAGGCGACGCGATGGTCCTGGCGCGGGTGTGTCGTCGTCATCATCGTCGTCGTCGTCGCGCGGGCGAGGCGGAACGCCGGGATGTTCATCGGCGGGATCGCGGTCGAGTGCTGCCGCTGCTGCCTCGTCTTCTGGGGATGCGAAGCTGCGGCCGCTGTTGACGTAGCCGCGTGCTTCGTTGCGACGTTCGTCGTCAATCCACTGCTGCAAGGTGAGTCGCTCATAGAAGAGAACATCACGAGCGGGGACGATCTGCTTGTTGTCAATGTCAAGAATGAGCCAACCCTTGTACTCGTTACTGAGTCCCAGATGGACTCCCCAACGCGCACGGTGAGTGAAGTTGCCGATTGTCACGGTCGTCGGCCGGTACTGCACCATACACCCCCAAACCCTCAGCATGGAGGGATCTCCCTTTGAGCCGGTCCACTTCATGTGTGGGGAAAGGTTGTTCCGGTTGGCCGTGGTGGAGAGAAGGTTGTGCAGGCGCACAGCGTGGTTCATCGTGTACGGCCAGTATTTCTTGGGTAGGCCGGATTGGTTCATGAGGGCGCGCACTTTTGTCATGAGGGTGCGGTTAACCCTCTCTGCGACGCCTTGCTGCTGGTGAGCGTAGGGGAGAGAAACCTCATGCTTGATTCCCTTCTCCGTGAGAACACTCTCCAGCTCGTTGCTGCGGAACTCTTTGGCCCCATCGCTCTGCCATATTTTCAGCTTCCTCCCTGATTGTCGTTGTGCATGTGCGAGCCAGATGCGGAAGACCTCTGGAGCCTATGAGCGAGCGTCGACGTTGGCGATCCAAACGTGGCGTGAGTAGGCGTCCACGAAGGTGAGTGTGTATCTCTCGCCGTTGATGCCGTCGTAGGTGAGCACGATGAAGTCACTATACACCTTCTGCAGCTTCTTGTAGCGGTTGGTGCTTGGTTCCAGAGAGGGGTAGGCGCTGTGGGAGAGGGCAGCTGTGGGACAAACGGTGCAGGTAGTTGGGTGTGGGGTGTTGTGGGGTTCCGTGCCGTCGGGGCGCAGCAGTGCTCCTGGGGGGAATACTTTGGCGCGGAGACAGTTGTTGAGTGTCTGGCGCGAGGGGTGACCGAGTCGCTGATGCCAGAGGTCATCTTCGGCGCGGATTCCGGAAGTGCGCATGTAACGAGCACGGTGTTCCGCCACTTCCGCTTCTGTTTCTTGCGGAATCCGGAGTGGAGGTTCTTCCTCTTCTTCTGCTTCGTTGTCCGGCTCCTCTGCTTCTGCTTCTGTTGCTGTCTCCCCTTCTGCAGGTGCCGTCGTGAGGTAGAGCGCAAAAAATTCGCGATCGGGGATGATGTTGAGCGGAGTCGTCGTGCCTTCGATAAGGCGGGCGAATGGATCTGGGCAGGAGATTGGACCAAGTGAGTCACGTGGGGGAGTTGGTGGCATGTTCCCCTCCTCAATCTCCGACCAGGAGCTGTTCCAGCGCCATGGTGGTGAGTGCGGTGATGACGGCAGGTTGCGCGGTGGGCGTCCTAGCGGAATGGGGACGCGTGGTGATCGTTCTCTGCGTTCTGCAGGTATTTCTCGCTCTATCTCCTCTTCTTCTTCTTTGGTGAGCGGAGCATCCGTGTATTCGTCTCCTCCCCATCCTCCAGTATCGCCCCATCCGCCTGTTCGCACGGTGCCGGATGCGCCGGTTGCGGATCCCCATGTTGCGCCTTCCTCTGGTATGTAGTCGACGTCTCCCCATGCGCCACGTCTTGCTGACTCCTCGTCCCATCCGGCCGCTACGCGCTCCTCATACAGTTTCTGCTTCTTTTCTGCCTTTGCCTTGTCTTCTTCTTCCTTGACGCTAAGCTCCTCTTTTGCGTCAGGATCTTTCCACCCTTTGTCGATCTCCTTGCGGTAGACGT